AGCGTGTCGCGCCGCCAACTCTGGCCCACCACGCTTCGGAGCGACACGCTGACGACTTCCCAAGTCCCCAGGCGTCAATGTCCTGAGCTTGTCCCGAGCCGCCTGGCCCGCGTATTCGAGCGACACGCTACTCGCTCGCAGGGCATAGCGTGTAGCCAGGGCCGTCGCCGCGACACGCCAGGCAAAATTCCTGACCGTAGTTGTGCTCGAACCGATGATTGCACCCCTCTGGCTCGCTGGAGGAAAAAGTGTGTGTGTGTGTGTGCATCTGCCCAGTCTGCCTCCAACAAGAGGTAGCACGATTGGTGCACGCCGCCGTGGACTAGAAGCTCGTGGCCCGGTCTTTGCCGTCAGCGTCGCCTGTTTTTAGGTGCGCCCCTGGTTACCTTTCCATTGCAACGTTGTGGGGCAAAGTGTGTGTATGTGTGCGTGTGTGTATGTATGTGTGTGTGTGTGCGCAAGCGCGTGTGCGTAATGGTGTGTATGTGTTGGTGCGTTTGCTGCCGTGGTGTTTGTTCTCACTTATGCTCGCCTGGCGCGGCCACCACGCATGTTTTCTGCACGCGGTTCGCACTGCGTTGTCCACCCATCTGCGACGTAAGGTGGAATTCGCTCTAAGCGTGGCCCGCCTGATCCTTTCGCTACAGTGGCGTCATTCGTCATTCGGCCACAAGGAAGAAAACGTAATTGTTGCCCGCGGTCGACTATCCTCGATTCACCAGGATCGCCAGTTCGAGTTACCCTGCCTGCCAAGGGGGCTAATGTGGTTTACACGCGTCCCGCCTTGCTTCGTGCGCCGCCGATTGGAGACACTAGCACGAGTGTGTGTATGTGTGTGTTTTGTGTGTGAGTGTGTTGTTTTTTGTGTCTTGCCCTAATCACTGTTGTTGTTCGACTTTTGTTAGACATGGCGCTTTTTTGGTTTGTTGTTTAGCGTTTCTGTTGGACATTTGCTGTCGTTATTTTGTATGTTTGTTTTTTCAGAAGTTGGTACTTTTTTGGGGGGATCCGCTTCTTATTCTGAGTTTATGGTTTGATGGTCCCGGGGGCCTGGTGAGAGCCCCCTGTGGCCGAAAGTTGCCCAACACCTTCCGTCGTGATTCTTTAACGACGCGAGGATGTCAGGGTCCGCCTCCTTTCCCCTCCCTTGCCTTGTTCTGCGAGCTTCGCTCTTCTTATCTCGTGCCACTTTCTTCCTGCACGCGCCTGCTTATCACCGGACAAGCCGGTCTAGCGAGGGTCTTTACACAGGGTGGTCAACTCAAGCTAAAGGCACCTCATTGCCATGCACCTGGTGATTGCAACGTGTGTGTGTGTGTGTGTGCGTGTGTGTGTGTGTTTGTATGTGCGTGCGTGTTCGATTCCATGCTTCGAATCGATATGTGGACCTGCTACGCAGCATCACAAGGGGGGCTTATTCGTTTTGCGCGTGTCCCGCTTCACTCTGCTCACGGCCGATTGGAGCCAAAGGCGCGTCGGAGGCTATTGTGTGTGCGTTTGCGCGAGTGCGTTCGTGCGTGTGCGTGTGTGTATTGCATAGTGCACGCCTAGTGTTCCTTGCATATGCTCGTTTAGCGCAGGCCCCCTTCTGCAACGTTAGTTGGAATTGACGCTAAGCGTGCCCCGCCGTAGTTCTCGCTGCAGTGACGTCACCCGGCCGATGGAGGAGCAAGAGTGTGTGTGTGTGCGTGTGGGTGTTTGTGTGTTCTGTGTGTATTGTGTGTTGTGTGTTGTGTGCGTGTGTGTGTGTTGTATGTTGTGGGTTGGAGTTCTAGTGTCTAAACCATGCGTTCCTTACGTCCTGACCAATCTGGGCGTTAATCAATCCATGGGTGCCCCGCACTGGCATCCGCTTCGTTGGATCAACCGGCCGGGACGCAACAGGTGTTTCTGTGTGTGTGTGTTCCACTTGTTGCTTGTGCTTGTGTTTGTGTTCGTGTTCGTTCTTGCTTGTGTTCCGCGAGCACTCGATGAATTTCCTTCAGCGGGAGGGAAGCCCACCCCGACCCCCATGACCAGCGTTTGCTAAATACTGCTGGGCGTTTCCTACGCAGACCGGCCGTATTCGATTCCTTGGCTGCGTTTGCTAAGCGGCTTCGCTTTTTCTGGTAGGGGTGGTCCTTGTGAGGGTGGTTATTGTGCCGTCTATTCCTCTCAGCAGTTTGCATATCAAACCTCCGCCTTCTCCTCGTCCTCGTTCCCCCTTTCCAGCAGAGTCGGTCCCCGGGCCTCTCCTGGAGCGCGTTATGGCAGGTTGGTCGAGGCGATTCCAGCCGTTGCGACGTGAGAGTTCAGAAAAAAGGCCGTGACAACAACAACGATCCCCCTCACCCCCAATTTAATTCCCCACATGTTTCGTGGGGGTCTGGTTTTCTTCCCTGCCGCGTCGCATCCGCGTCTCACACCCGCACACCCGCACACACCTCCCTCTCCCGCAAAGCGTGGCAGACGTGACATACATACATACATACACAGGCACACCGACACAGACACATACACACAGACACACAGACACACACAGACACAAACACACATACACCTGCACGGCACGTACATGAGACACGCGTAGCACACTTCACAACACAGCGCAGCGCAGCACAACACAGCGCTGCTCAGCACAGCTCAGCTCGGCACAGCACAGCACAGCACAGCTCAGCACAGCAGAGCACACGGGGCAGGCGCGGCGGGCACGGCAGGCGTGACCGCATCGCACCACACACACACCACACGTCGGAGAGCGTGGCAGGCCCCACATAGAGGGGCACGTGGCAAGCGTGGCACTTTCTCGACACCAGAGGGGGTGCGCAAGGGGGTGGTCTCTCACCGCGGCCCCTATACGCGCCAATGTCGCAGGGCCTTGCAGGCGTGGCACTTTCTCGACACCAGAGGGGGTGCGCAGGAGGTGGTTTCTCACTGCGGTCTCTATACGCGCCAATGTCGCAGGGCCTAGCAGGTGTGGCACTTTCTCGACACCACTAGCAGGCGTTGCACTTTCTCGACACCAGAGGGGGTGCGCAAAGGGGCTGGTCTTTCACCGCGGTCCCTATACGCGCCAATGTCGCAGTGCCTAGCAGGCGTGGCACTTTCTCGGCACCAGAGGGGGTGCGCAGGGGGTGGTCTCGCACCGCGGTCCCTATACGCGCCAATGTCGCAGGGCCTAGCAGGCGTGGCACTTTCTCGACACCAGAGGGGGTGCGCAGGGGGGATGGTCTCTCACCCCGGTCCCTATACGCGCCAATGTCGCAGGGCCTAGCAGGCGTGGCACTTTCTCGACACCAGAGGGGGTGCGCAAGCGGGTGGTCTCTCACCGCGGCCCCTATACGCGCCAATGTCGCAGGGCCTTGCAGGCGTGGCACTTTCTCGACACCAGAGGGGGTGCGCAGGAGGTGGTTTCTCACTGCGGTCTCTATACGCGCCAATGTCGCAGGGCCTAGCAGGTGTGGCACTTTCTCGACACCACTAGCAGGCGTTGCACTTTCTCGACACCAGAGGGGGTGCGCAAAGGGGCTGGTCTCTCACCGCGGTCCCTATACGCGCCAATGTCGCAGTGCCTAGCAGGCGTGGCACTTTCTCGACACCAGAGGGGGTGCGCAGGGGGTGGTCTCGCACCGCGGTCCCTATACGCGCCAATGTCGCAGTGCCTAGCAGGCGTGGCACTTTCTCGACACCAGAGGGGGTGCGCAGGGGGTGGTCCCCGGTCCCTATACGCGAATGTCGCAGGGCCTTGCAGGCGTGGCACTTTCTCGACACCAGAGGGGGTGCGCACTCTCACTGCGGTCTCTATACGCGCATATGTCGCAGGGCCTAGCAAGCGTGGCAATTTCTCGACACCACTAGCAGGCGTTGCACTTTCTCGACGCCAGAGGGGGTGCGCAAGGGGGGTGGTCTCTCACCGCGGTCCCTATACGCGCCAATGTCGCAGGGCCTAGCAGGCGTGGCGCTCTCTCGACACCAGAGGGGGTGCGCAGGGGGTGGTCTCTCACCCCGGTCCCTATACGCGCCACTGTCGCAGGGCCTAGCAGGCGTGGCACTTTCTCGACACCAGAGGGGGTGCGCAGGAGGTGGTCTCGCACTGCGGTCTCTATACGCGCCAATGTCGCAGGGCCTAGCAGGTGTGGTACTTTCTCGACACCACTAGCAGGCGTTGCACTTTCTCGACACCAGAGGGGGTGCGCAAGGGGGGTGGTCTCTCACCGCGGTCCCTATACGCGCCAATGTCGCAGGGCCTAGCAGGCGTGGCATTCTCTCGACACCAGAGGGGGTGCGCAGGAGGTGGTCTCGCACTGCGGTCTCTATACGCGCCAATGTCGCAGGGCCTAGCAGGTGTGGCATTTTCTCGACACCGCTAGCAGGCGTTGCACTTTCTCGACACCACAGGGGGTGCGCAAAGAGGTGGTCTCTCACCGCGGCCCCTATACGCGCCAATGTCGCAGGGCCTAGCAGGCGTGGCACTTTCTCGACACCAGAGGGGGTGCGCAAGGGGGGTGGTCTCACACCGCGGTCCCTATACGCGCCAATGTCGCAGGGCCTAGCAGGCGTGGCAGGCGCGGTACTTTCTCGATGCCACAGGGGGTGCGCCAGGGGTGCGGTCGCTATCCGTTTCGGCTTCGCAAAGCGTGGCAGGCGTGGCACTTCCTTGACGCCACAAAAGGGTGCCTTGGGGGTGCGGTCGCCATGTGTTTCGGGCTCGCAAAGTGTGGCTGGCGCGGCGTTTCCTCTCTTCCACCTCTCCTCTTGAGTGGCATCACCAATGGTATCGGCGGGGCAACGGCTACCAACATCATTCTCACATGCTTCACTCCAGCTATCATCATTCCAGCCATAACATAAGTATGTGAGGTTCCTCGGTAGCGTAATCAAGGACTTATGGGGGTGAGTCGGATTCTTATTGAGGGGAGGGAGGAGGAAATGAGTGGAAGTGTGGGAAAGATGGGGGAGGATAGTAGTGCCTATGTTCCTCTTCCCCTCCCCCGCGCGTCACCTTCGTCCAGGCTGAGAAGATGCTGAAGGCTCTGCGAAGCCCAGTCATCGATCTAGCAGTGCCCGAGTGCGTGGACAGTGAGGACGCGAATGCCAAACTCGTCGTCGGAGGGACGGGAGGAGGTTGGGCAGGAGGATTGGGAGGAATGTGGATGAGAAAGTAGGTGTGTGCAGCGGGGGATACGTTGATTATGATTTCGGGAGTTCTCCCGATGATTCTGGAGTTTCTTTGGCACGGGGGGGAAGGGAAGCGGAAGCCAGGCAGGGAGGGAGGGGGGAGAGAGGAGCGAAAGGCGAGGAGCGAAAAGAGAGGAGGGGAGGAAGGAGGGGCAGGAGTTTATTGGAGGGCTCTCCTCTGCCTCCTCCCCTTCCTCGTCCTCCTCCTCCTCCTCCTCCTCGTCCTCTTACTCGTCCACCTTCTCCTCATGCTGTTCCTTTTCCTTCCGTTCGTCCCCTTCGTTCCGGAGACCGTTGTAGGGGTTGCTCCCGCCCGGGGGCGTACCCACGGCGCCCACCCCCCCGAATGCATCCGGAACCGTCGAGGGAGGAGGGAGGAGGGAGGAGGGAGGAGGGAGGGGGAGGGAGGGAGGGAGGGAGGAGGAGGAGAGGAGGAGGAGGAGGAGGAGGAGGAGGAGGAGGAGGAGGAGGAGGAGGAGGAGGAGGAGGAGGAGGAGGCGGAGGAGGAGGAGGAGGAGGAGGAAGAACCTCCCCCCCCTCGACCGTCGAGGGGTCGAGGGTCGAGGCAAGCCTTGGAAAGGGGCAGCTGGCGGCCGAGGCCGGAGCCCTGCTCTGCGACCCCGTTGCGCAGCCCTGCGCTGAAGTCGGGCCTGTCCCTCGACAGGGGGAATATTCAAATTCGATGCTCGTTTTGGGGACCTTCCTGGGGGCCACCTAATGGATCTGTTCGACTCAGGTTCGACTCAAGTTCGACTCAGGTTCGACTCAGGTTTGACTCAGATTCGACGCAGCTTCGACTCATGTTCGACTCAGGTTCGACTCAGATTCGACGCAGCTTCGACGCACGAGTGGAGCGAGTGGCTGCAGGAAGGTCCCCAGAATGAGCATCTAATTCAAAGACAGTCAACAAAAATAGTCCGGGGATGATTTTTCTAGTATTTTGGGGCATCTTTTGAGCACTTTTTCTTTTTCGTCCAGAATCCCCTCTGTAGGGGGACAGGCCCGACCTCACCCCACGCCTGCCAGTCCAGTCCAGCCGCTGGGTCATCGGACACCCCCGTTGGGGTGCACCTAGCTGCAGACATCCTTCAAGCTCTGACCCACGCAAAGGGGGGGTCAGGAAAGTCGGACCTGCAGGGGTAGGCTTCACGGGTGGCTCCGAGAGCGGTGCACGAGGCGAGGGCAAGCAGAGAGGACGGGGGAGATGTGGAGGACATGAGCTACTTTCTTATCCACCTGCGCCGCCCGGACAATTGTACTCGAAACATGGGCCCTGGCGCTCTACGGCTCCTCCGTCCCTCCTCCTCACTTAGCCCCCGCAGTTGCGGATAAGAGTGAAAGGATGAGCGGGGCCGTTGGCAGTTTTCGAGGCTCGGTAGCAAGTGTGATGAAGCCCGCCGCAGGGTCCCTCCGTATGCTTTCCCGCATGGTCTCCTGTATGGTCCGTATGGTCCCCCCGTTCTGATCCCCTCGTATGGTCCCCCCGCATGGTCCCCTCGTAGGGCCCCCCGTTTGGTTCACTCGCATGGTCCACCGGTATGGTACCCCTGCATGGTCCCCTCGCATGGTCGCCCCGTGTGGTCCCCCACATGGTCCCCTCGTATGGTCCCCCCGTATAGTCGCTCGCGCTCATGGACGAAGTAAGAAAGTTTGGCAACCCCTCACTCTGAGAAGTACCTCCCCTTGTCGCACCAGTAGACATGTCCGTAGCCTGGGCCGTGGGTTTCTTCTGGGTCTTCCTTAGACCCTGCGATCCTGAAGCTGCGCAAACTCCGACAGTCAGACGGACGGATGGCTGGTGGTTTGCCAATCGCTCCAGCGCCTCGCGCATTCGTCTTCAAGGCTTGTAGCAGGTACTGGATTGGAGGGCCGGCCTCTTCTTTGCAGAACGGGGCTCTCGCCCGAGCGCCGCGCACGCTGGTCCTCAGAGCTCGCAGCAGCTCCCAGGACGGAGGGCAGATCGTCTTCAAGATCGGCGGAGGAGGAGGAGGAGGAGGAGGAGGAGATCGCCTTCGCGCAGCGCACATCTGTCCAAAAGCTCGCAGCGGTCTTTCCAATGGGAGGCCATGCGTTGTCAAACAAATCCTCTCGCCGTCGCGCCGCACGCCCTCCGAGTTCGCAGCAGCTGCGTGCAATGTCGAGGCCTGCCCTTTTTTTGAATACAGCCAACCCGCATAGTAAGGATGGGCAGCCTTCCCAGGGGCACCCCTGCATCCTCGCCTCATCGGTCCATTCTTCGCCGGTTCCGCTGGCCGCGCCCCGCTCGAGAAGCTTCGAGGTGCGCGTCCAAGGCCCCTGCATTCTTATCGCGCATCCTTACTATACTGGTCGACTGTAGATCGCCTTCGCGCAGCGCACATCTGTCCAAAAGCTTGCAGCGGTTTTTCCAATGGGGGGCCCGTCGTTTTCAAAAAAGAGCCTCTCGCCTTCGCGCCGCACGCACCCTGAGTTTGCAGCAGCTGCGTGCAAGGTTGAGGCCTGCTCGTTTTCAATGAGGGGCGTGTTTTCCACCGCCACCATAAGTTGGAGGGGGGGGGGTCCTCCTCCTCCTCCTCCTCCTCCTCCTCCTTCTCCATCTCCTCCTCCTCTTCGTCCTCCTCCTCCTTCCCCCCTCCAACTTAGGGTGGTGGTGGTGGAAGACAGGCCCATCATTCAATAATCCAGCTCTCGCCCGAGCCTTCTTCAACTGGCTTGGACCGAAAATCCGACTTGTGCGACAGTTACGTGGACGGAGGGCGGCGCCTTGTCAACAGGGGGCTCTCGCTTCAGACCGCCGCAGATCTGAGGGCCAGAATCTGACACTGGGCAACGTCTACGTACAGGGAGGGCAGATCGTGTGCAAAACGGGGGTATCGCAGGACACTTCCTTGAGCTTGCACGTCCTGCCCCTTCGCATGTCATTCAGCTGATGGAAGGACGGGAGGTGGATCCTTTACGGAACGGGGCCTCGCCGGAGTGGCAGGCCGTGTGGGCGATCGTAATTCAAGGAGGGCGCTTCCCGCAATGGAGAATTTGCAAGGACTTCGGAGAGACTCAGGACGCCACCGTGTGTCGCAGAATAGTTGATGCATCCTGGGTTTGCTGTAGTTCTCCTCATCATCATCCACCTCCTGGTTCTTTTCTTCTCCCCCCCCCAGCTCTCCATTATCCTCTTTCTCCGCGTCCTGGGATCTTGGCAAGGCCAGTCCTGGGCCCAGCAATCGCCCTGGCTGGTGGTCGGTGCACGCATGGTGGACACCCGTCGTCTCCCCCGACGGAGAGGAGGGGCCAGCATGAAGGAAACCCTGACCTCCTCGCGTTGGGGAAAAACACGACGGCACGTGTTTGACTTTCTTCTCGCTTGCGGGGACCCCTTATGAGGCCGCGGGACCGACAAAAAACAGCTCAGCACGAAACGCCAGTCTCCAAGACGGGGCCCAGACCTCTGGGGAACCGCGTTGTTGACAACAACGCGACGTCGGATGTCTGGGAGAGCGGGTGTCCTGGAGGAGAGGAGTCCTGGAGGTGCTCGCCGTCTGCGGCCTCCCTCCGCCCCCGTCCCGCTCCCGGGGCTGTCAGAAAACCGCGCGGGAGGGAGACATGCCCAGACATCCGACGCAGTGATTTTGTCACAGCGCGGGCGAGGTCTCGACTCGTTCCCCCTGCACCAGCTGGTCCTCCTGAGCCGTCCTCTGCCTGTCCTGGAGACCCCGCGAGGGCCCCCAGGGGCCGCTAGCGGCAACAAACATTTGCCGTCGTTGAATTGAGGGTGTCAGGGTGAGCCTTGTGAACGGCTCCCCGGGCCAGGCCCATCCACCTGGGGTTCGTTTCCTCCTGGCCCTCGACTGGTTCCCCGGCACCAGCTGTTCCTCCTGAGCCGTCCTCTGCCTGTCCTGGAGACCCCGCGCGGGCCCCCAGGGGCCGAGAACGGCCAACTTGTCGTCGTTGCATTGGGGGTGTCGGGGCAGGGTGATCCTTGTGAACTCAGAGCGTGAATTACCTACCCCGCTTTCGCTTCCAGGAAAAAACAAGTCATACCACGCGCCTCCTCGTCAAGCGACCTAACCAGTACAGGCCGTAGTGTGGCATCGCTTGGCATCTCCTGGAAGCGAGGGTGGTCAAAAGCGAGGTAGGTTTGTTTTCCCCCTGTGAACGGCTCCCCGGGCCAGGCCCCTCCACCAGGGGCTTCGTTTCCTCCCTGTCCGGGGGGCGGGGACGGCGCGGAGGACGCAGACCCCAAGCTCGTCATCGTCGGCGACACGCACGGTCAGCTGGCCGACGTTCTCCACATCTTCCAGGATAACCCCCTCCTCCTCTCCCTCCTCCTCCTCCTCCTCCTCCTCCTCTCCTCCTCTCTCCTCCTCCTCCTCCTCCTCCTCCTCCTCCTCCTCCTTCTCCTCCTCCTCCTCCTCCTCCTCTCTCCTCCTTCTCCTCCTCTTCCTCCTCCTCCTCCTCCTCCTCCTCCTCCTCCTCCCTCCCTCCCTCCCTCCCTCCCTCCCTCCCTCCCTCCTCTTCCTCCTCCTCCCCCCTCACCCAGCAGCTCGACGCTTGTAGAGCCGTGGCTGCCACGATGCCCAACACTTGCTCGATGTCGCTCTCGCAGCCTGGAAATACCCGACAATACAGGTGGTTGAGGCCTGGACCTGCGGCGTGATCATGAAGACGCCGCCCCAATGGGTATTGGCGGTCCTTCCCCTCGTCCTCCTCGTCCTCCTCCTCCTCCTCTTTTCACCCTCGCTGGTTGCTGTGCGCCTATGGTGGTGGCACTGGGTTTGGGGGCAGTGTACTCCCCTACCCGTCCTGCTGGGGATTGTTTAGTGAATGTGCTCCTAGCAGTTTCTTTTGCACGAGCGTCCACCCGTCCGCGTGCTTGACGGATCGCTCCAGTTGTTGTTGGTGTTGTTGTTGTTGTTGTTGTTGTTGTTGTTGTTGTTGTTGTTGTTGTTGTTGTTGTTGTTATTGATGTTGTTGGTGTTATTGTTGTTGTTGTTGTTGTTGTTGATGGTGTTGTTGTTGTTGTTGCTGTTGCTGTTGCTGTTGCTGTTGTTGTTGATGATGTTGCTGTTGTGGTTGTTGTTGTTGTTGTTGTTGTTGTTGTTGTTGTTGTTGTTGTTGTTGTTGTTGTTGTTGTTGTTGTTGTTGTTGTTCGCAAGTAATCGATTGTTCAGTGCTAGATTGCTCCTCTTGTCCGCTCTCTCTCTCTCTCTCTGCTTCTCGCTGTGTTCAGCCGTCCGCTTTCTCGCTGCCTTCTTTTATCCCACCGCCCATCTGCTTGCTCTCTCTGTCTCTATTTCCTTCCGCTGGGGCCTTGCTTCTCCGCCCTCCCGCCCCTGCGCCGCTTTCTCTCTTACCTTCTCTATTCTGAGCTCCTCGTCGCCACATGTTGGATGTAGGCCCCTACTGGCAAACTGGGGTAACGAACGGGCTGCCAACCGCCTTTTCCCATGGGATTGGGACCCAGTGGCACAGGTGCCGAGGAGAAGGAGGAGGAAGGAGGAGGAGGAGGAGGAGGAGGAGGGAGACAAGGAGGAGATGGAGGGGGAAGGATGAGGAAAGGCGGAAGAGGAGGAGGAGGAGGAGGAGGAGGAGGAGGAGGAGGAGGAAGGGAGGAGGAGGAGGAGGAGGAGTAGGGGGGCGACCAGAAAGGCCAGAAATCTTTGGGATGCCTTTCGGAGTCTCTTCGGACTTCTTCCGAAAGCTTCGTGCAGTCCTCCTAGGGGTGCGTTGGGGGTCTTTGGGCAGTCCTGGGGGGCATCTTGGGGGCCTCTTGGGGGTCTACTGGGAGCCTCTAGGGGGGGCATCTTGAGGGCCTCTTGGGGGCCACGTGGGGCCTCCTGGGCAGCCCTCGGGGCTGTCTTGGGGCACCCTTGGGAGCCTCGGGGGCCATCTTGGGGCCACCTCGGACGGGCCGCAGTGCATTCGGGTCCCCCGCCATGGAGGCCAACATGTGGTTAAAAGCCTTCGTAACATGAGTGATTCGGGCCTTCTCGCCGAGGCCTCTTGAGGCGTTTTGGGTGCCCCTGGGGGGCCTCTGGGGGCGTCTTAGGGGGTCTCTTGGGAGCCGATTGGGGACATCTAGGAGGCCTCTCGGGGGCCTCTTTGGGCCTCCTGGACACTTCTTGGGGCCGCCTTTGGGCACCAGTGGGAGCCTCGGGGGCATCTTGAGACCATCTTGAGACCATCGATCAAAGAAGGGGTTGTAGTACAGAAGGGCCCACCCCCCCAGGAGCCCAACACGTGGCTAACTGAGGAACATCAATTATTGTGGTTTCCTCACCGTGGCCATCTTGGACGCTCCAACGCCTCGCGGAACGCCACCTTCAAACCCGGGGACGGGGGGGGGTAGGGGGAGGACAAACTTTTCCCCGAAGGGAAAGAAGGGGGTTGGACGAGGAAGCGCTCTGAACCACTCACGTCCTAAAGGGCTGGTGGGATTGCTGTGGCCTTCGCGCCGCGCGCATTGCTTCTATAAACCTCCAACCGCTACAGCGATGAAGGGCGGCCCGCTTTTAAATTGTAGCGCTCGCCTACGTGCCGCGACTGTGCGTGTGAATCGTATGTCTAACAGTTCAAATGATGGGGCGCGGCTCCTTCTCAAAACTGGCCTCTCGCTTGTTATGGATCGGGCATGTACTTACCATAAGCGTAGATCAGGGTTACAATGGTTCGGCTGGATGGCTGTCCTTTTCCAAGAGAGGGTTAGCGTCAGAGCTTCCTTTGGCTTTTTCTCAAAGGTTAGGACTCCATATGGTGCAACAGTCACACGGGCGGATGGAGGACGGTTCATTTTCTAAACGGGGTTCCTTCTTGAATGGCAAGTTCATGGGTTCTTGTTTTTCAGCGGGGGACCTCCAACATTAAACGGAGTTCTTATAGGGACTCATGATGGGGAGGCTTGGGACCAGAGGGCGTTTCGCAGTATCGCTGATGCACCTCGGTGTTACTCTCGCCCGCCTCATCCTCCCTCTTGACGCCTGCCGCTGCTGCTCCTCCTCCTCCCTGCTCCATTGTCGTCCCCCTGATCCTCCCTCCTCCTGCTCCTCCTCTCTGCCTTTCCACCCACCCTCTCTCCCTCCCATCTCTCCCTCCCATCTCTCTCCTCCCAGGGGATCCCGGGAGGCCACGGACAGGCGCTCTCTCCCCTCCCCCAGGAGGAGGGGGAGGGGGAGGAGGAGGGGGAGGAGGAGGAGGAGGGGGAGGAGGAGGAGGAGGACCAAATGTGGCCGCAAGTTCGGGGCCCCTTGGGAGCCCTCTTCGCTACGTTCGCCAGAGTCGGGATCGTCGTCGTTGAGCCCCTGGTATGGAAGTTGCCCGACGGTCTGGAGCTGAAACTCAAGGACATTTGCCCCAGGGTCCTACTGCACTGCTGTGCGCATGCGGTGCGCCACTGGGTTAACCTGCAGATTTCGGAGCACCTCCAGATGCCCGAGTTCCGTACTGGGTTCTGGGATGGGCCTCTGAAGTACCTCCTGAGCGCCAAGGGGAACCTCACTTGGCAGCAGCGTGGCTACCTCAGGAGTGCTATCTTTGGAGCTCAGTGGCCCCAAGATCGGCAATTTCAACAAGGATGGATTGACTCCCCGAGTTGCCTTGCATGCCATGAGGCCCCTGGGTCCCTCGTGCATCGGCACGCTGTTTGCAAGAGCATGCTTGAGGCAATAGGAGAGCCACTCCCTGATGCAATCAGACTCATGCTCCCGCATGCGGACCAGAATGACCTGGTGCGCCTGTTGCTGGAGCGTGTGCTCGTCCCGCTCCCCAAGGCCCCTCAGGCAGTGCTGCTGACGCCGTCGGAGCCCTGTGTGGAATGGCACGGGGATGCGCAACAGCTCACAGGGGATCTTTTTCTTGATGGCTCTCTGTTTACTGATTATCCACATCGCGGGACCGCTGCATGGGCAGTTGTCGCGCTGGCCGCCGACAGTGACACGGCTGTCTGCACCATCACAGGTATCCTGCCCTACCCGCTGCAGGACATAGACGGTGCCGAGCTGTATGCCCTGTTCGCAGTGCTCAGATTCGCGGTGCCACCTGTTGTCGTGCACACGGATTCCGATTTCGTTTGGAAAGGTTACAATATCCGCGGACCTGCTGACACCACGTCGGCGTCGGCGGCTTGGGCCTGTCTTTGGAAGCTCGTATGGCACAAAGTCGATGACTGGGGGGGTACCCCCCCTGAGGTTAAGAAAGTGAAAGCCCACGTGACAGACGTTCTGGTTGCGGAGGGGAGGTATAAGCTTCGAGACAAACTTGGAAATGATGCCGCCGACGGTGCTGCGAACAGTCGTGCTCGTGTCCTGCGGCCCGATCCCCAGTTTCAGAAGCTTACGTTGATGCAGAAGAGAATGGTCAGTCTTACGGGGAAATGGGCCGCCAGGGCGGGTGAGGCCATTGCATCTGTAGACTGTTTGCACCGCCAGCGCTCTGCACGTTCAGCCCCCTCCCTAATCATTGTCAAGCCAGAGCCGCCCACCTTAGAGCAAAGGATCCAGCAGGCTCAGGTTTCTCTGAAGGCCGCTGGGTCCAAGCATCATCGTGTGGCCTCGCTGTTTGTGGGCGAAACCCAGGTTTTTTGTTGCACTCACTGCGCTGCATGCACCACCCAGCGCGTGGTTTCTCTTGCGAGTGAGTGCCAGCCCCGTCATCTTTCGAAGGATCGTCGCCTTATCCTGGAACGATTGAGACGGGGCGAGTACTGTTTAGCCAAGAGGGTTCTGAGGTATGCAGGATATCGCCTGCTCCCAGAGCCCTAATCCTTTGTCAATGTCCGATGGGCGCGGCTAATGGCGGTTGCAAGGTGCGCCCCTAGCCGCGTTCGAGGTCCTGCTGAGGCACCATAGACTCTGTGGCGCCCCAGGCTGTGCCCAGGAGGAGGAGGAGGAGGAGGAGCCCCTTCCCTCCTCCCCCTCTCCGCTGGGGGGCGCCAGCTGTCTGCCTTCACCGATGTCCTGGCCATGCCCATGCTGGGCCCAGGATCTGTGCACAAGGCTAAGGCGCCCTGCCTTGACCAAGAGGCACGTGCACCGTTCCCGAGCCCAGGAGCGGTACACATGGTTTATGTCGTATTCTTCGGAAATTCCTTGATTTTCTGGTGGCTAGGATCCTTTCATTTCTCATTGTTCCCTCCTGGGCCTCTTCATGGCCACTAGGGGGTCAGGAACAATTAGGAGCAAGCACAGTTAGAAATGAGCACGATGAGAAAGGAAGACGTGTAGTCAGCTCCAGGACTGGGATGTGGACAATTCGTTTACGTACCCCGACCCTCTGGAACACCTGGGCCATCTTGGGCCGCCTTGGGCCATCTGGGCAACTTTAGCGAGTCGCGATCACCCCCTTCTGGGCCCAGGGGAGCGGGAAAGGGGAGGGGTCAAGGTGTCCCCTCCGAAGGACGGCTGTGTCGCTCACTCCCACCCGCCCTCACACCATACATGCTCCCGAGTCTGAGCATGAGGATGGGCCGCCATCGACAGTCATCGGGAACCAATGCTTCCGGCTTCGCCCCCGGTCGGGTGGGAAAAGGGGTGAGTGATGAGAAGGAGCAGTGAGTGGCCCTTTCCACAGAGGGGGTTGGAAAAACGAGCTCGTCGAACCCTTCACGCCCCGGGGGCTGGTGGCAGCAGTTGACGTCCCCCGACCTTCCCTCCCCGCCTCCCCACCGAGAACGCATCCTCCCAGGAGCACGGCACCCCCAGCCCGACGCGCCTCTACCTGTTCAACGGGGACATCACCGACCGTGGCCCAGAGTCCGTGGAGATATGGATGCTGGTGCTCGCCTTCAAGATCCGGTACCCCCAGCACGTGCACGTGCTGAGAGGGAACCACGAGAACGAGAAGCTGAACACCAGGAGAACGTTTGGCTACCACTCTCTCTCCCTTTCCCTTTCTCTGGTTCACGCGCCGAGCTTATCTGGAAGCCGCTCTCCTTCCACTCGCACGCACACACACACACACACACTTCATACATGAATGCACGTTTCGCAAATCGATGCACTTACAGTTCGGTGTGCCCCAAGCGGCGCATACATAGTTGCACGCTTGCGACAAAGGCGAAATCGTATGCAGTTCGCGCACATATGTATAAGTGTGTATACCCGTCCGTATGTGAGATAGGTGTGTTAATATGTGTACAACGTCATGTGCAAAACGTGGCGTGCATACATATACAAATGCACACATACATATAGACACACGTTCACACTCATACATATATATGTATATACATATATACATATACACACACTTATATATACACATACCGGAGGTGAGGGATGAGATCGAAGTGGGACGGAGAGCCCCCTACCGGGAAATCGGTTTCGGTTTCGTGTTCGTGCGTGCCGTGCGTGCGGGCGAGGCGATGCTGCGTGGGCGGGTGAGAAGATAGTCTCCTCCGGCTGAGGCGCGGCTGGACCAAATGATTCCTTTCCGGGGGCCGGTGGCCCGCGGTGTCATGCCGGTGTCCCGCCTCTGGCTGAGGCCCGGCCGGACCAAATGATTCCTTTCCGGGGGCCGGTGGCCTGCGGTGTCCCGCCGGTGTCCCGCCGGTGTCCCGTCGGTGTCCCGATGATGATGATGATGATGATGATGATGATGATGATGATGATAATGATGATGATGATGATGATGAGGATGAGGATGAGGATGAGGATGAGGATGAGGATGAGGATGAGGATGATGATGATGTCGATGATGTTGATGATGATGATGATGGTGATGGTGGTGATGATGATGGTGTCCCGATGATGATGATGATGATGATGATAATGATGTTGACGATGTTGATGATGATGGTGATGGTGGTGATGATGATGGTGTCCCGATGATGAGAATGTTGATGATGGTGTTGCTGATGACGATGGTGCTGGTGTCCCGATGATGATGATGTTGATGATCCTGATGATGTTGATGACGCTGATATGATTATGGTATGATGATGATGACAATGACGATGATGGCGTTCCGATGGTGCGGTTGGTGATGATGCGGTTGATGATGATGGAGTCCCGATGATGATGATGATGTTGATGATGATGATGACGGTGATGGTGTCCTGATGACGGTGATGAGGATGATGATGATGTTGATGGTGAGGATGATGATGAGGTGATGATGAGGATGTTGATGGTGTTGGCCCGATGATGATGGTGATAATGATGATGATGATGATGATGATGGTGTCCCCCTGATGATGATGGTGATGATGATGGTTACGATGATGATGGTGCCCCGATGATGATGATGATGTTGATGGTGATGATGTTGCTGATGATGATGATTGTGTCCCGATGTTGATGATCATGATGATGTTGGTGACAGTGAGACGATGATGGTGGTGTTCCGATGTTGATGATGGTGTCCCGATAATGATGATGTTGATGATGGTGATGGTGACGATGGTGTCCCGATGATGGTGGTGGCGATGATGATGATGTTAATGATGATGGTGATGGTGGTTATGATGATGGTGTCCCGATGATGATGAGAATGTTGATGATGATGTTGCTGATGACGATGGTGCTGGTGTCCTGATGATGATGATGATGATGTTGGTGATCCTGATGATGTTGATGACGCTGTTATGATGATGGTATGATGATGATGACGATGATGATGATGATGGTGTTCCGATGATGCGGCTGGTGATGATGTGGTCGATGATGATGGAGTCCCGATGATGATGATGTTGATAATGATGATGACGGCGATGGTGTCCGGATGACGGTGATGAGGATGATGATGATGTTGATGGTGCGGATGATGGTGACGTGATGATGAGGATTTTGATGGTGTTGGCCCGATGATGGTGAGGATGATGATGATGGTGCCCCGCTGATGATGATGGTGGTGATGATGGTTACGATGATGATGGTGTCCCGATGATGATGATGATGATGTTGATGGTGATGAGGTTGCTGATGATGATGGTGCCCCGGTGTTGATGATCATGATGATGTTGGTGACGGTGACACGATGATGATGATGGTGGTGTTCCGATGTTGATGATGGTGCCCCGATGATGATGATGTTGATGATGGTGATGGTGTCGATGGTGTCCCGATGATGGTGATGGCGATGATGATGATGTTGATGATGATGATGGTGATGAGGTGATGATGATGGTGTCCCGATGATGATGATGATAATGATGATGATGATTATGCTGATGACGTTGATGACGATGATGCTGGTGGTGATGAGGTTGATTGTGAGATCGATTGTGGAATCGATAATGAGATCGATCGTGAGACCGAATGTGAGATCGATTGTGAGATCGATAGTGGGATCGATATTGAGATCGACTGCGGGATCGATAGTTTGATCGATTGTGAGATCGATCGACTGAAATAGACCTGGTGCTATCGATTGTGGGATCGCTCGGGTGAGATCAATCGAGCGAGACCGATAGTGAGATCGATCGTGAGATCGATAGTGAGACCGATCGAGTGAGACGTTGGTTCCTCCCCCCCCGAACCTCCTTATCACCCGAAGGGCTGTCGTCGAGGTGTATATATAATTATAAACACATATATTTGTGTGTATGTACTGATATATATATATATATATATATATATATACAACACATATATTTGTGTGTATGTACTGATATATATATATATGTGTATATATATATATGGTCGCCCCCCTCTGATATCATAGTTTCCCCTCATCCTCGTTACTGTTGCTGCGTAGCTTTGCCCTTTTGGGCTGCTTGCGGCCTGCCGGGTTCTTTCTTTGGTGTTGTTTGGCCTTAGGTTGTACAGACGCCGCGGACGGCCTTGATCCGTTGTTCGACATCCACGGCCAAATGGCCCCAGCTCGATGGGGCAAAGTTGACGGGCCGATCGTGGCCCCTGGACCCTCCGGATGGAAGCGGGAGGACGCGGCGAGGGGGAGGGGAGGATGAGGGGGGGATGAGCCGACGGGGAGGAGGAGGAGAAGGACCAGTGCAAACCCAAGACTCACCAACGATATTTCAGTAAGCCCTCCTCCAACTTACCGTTTTTATTGGTCCCATACGAGGGTTCATGTCGCTGAAGGAAATGTCCAGTTGGAAATCAACCGTTTGAATATCAGGAACTGCGCCAGAACACCATCCCTGGAATTTCAACGCCTCGACTTACCTTTACTGTTGGGTCGTGACGATCCTGAATCGTCCCAGAGCACCAATGCCAAAACACCATTCCTGGGACGTTAACTATGCGAACATGTGAAACTCTTGTAAACTCCTAAACCAAATGCGCGCTGCGCCAAGGCGGGAGACACATTAGAAAAAGGAGCCGCCCTCCATCTGTGAAGCTTCTACAGCCGTTTAAGACACATGTGCACGGCGTTAGGGCGAGAGCCACAGTTTGGAAAGGAAATGCCCTCCATGCGTGAATCTATTGCGCTTGTTGAAAGCGGATGTGCGTGGCATTAGAGTGAAAACCACATTTTGAAAAAGGAATCGCCCTCCATCCGTGAAGCTCTTGCAGTCTTTGAACACGAGTGTGCGTGACGCTAAGGCGAAAGCCACATGTTGAAAAAGACCGGCCCTGCATATTTGAACCTTTTGCACATGTTTAAGACAGATTTGCGCGGCGCTGAGGCGAGAGCCACACTTTCAAAACGACCCGCCCTCTATCCGTGAAGCTCTTGCAAGTATGTTAGACGAATTTGCGAGGCGCTATTGCAAGAGCCACGTTGTGAAAACGACCCGCCCTCAATCTGTGGAGCTCGTGCCATTGTTTAAGACGCATGTGCGCGGCGCGAAGGCAAAACCCACATTATGGAAACGGCACGCCCTCCATCTGTGAAACCTTTGCAGATTTTCAGTTCCAGGATCATACATCGTGGGGACGTTTCAGGCGAAACGCCCAGCCCGCCCTTTCGACCGGCCTCGGGGTGCGACAGGGAGGAGTTATTTATGAGGACCAGGAGTTGATCGGCACGAGCCACATTGGTACGGAAAGAATGGGCACAATGCCCAACAGCAGTTCCGATTCATTTTGAGCAGGGCTCGCTGTCCGCGCCGCCGCGGCCTGCGTCTATTTGGGACAGGAGGCCGCCTGCCCGCCGCTCTTGGTGTGGGACAATTTGCTGTTGGGCCTTGTGCCCATTTTTTCCGTACCCATTTCGGGCGTCCAACATCGGCGTCACCCAAGCATACTTATACTATATGTGCGTCGCCCCCCCAGGGGCGACGCGCGCACCGAGGAATCTTCTAGTATATGCGTCGTGGCGGTCGCTTTCTGACCACACCGCTCGGGAAACGATACACTACAAGATGGACATTCTACATGTTTGGGTCGAACGCGCGCCTCCAAGGAGAACATGTAGTACTAGTATGTCTTTGTGCGCCCCACAAGATTGAGGAGGCGATGAGGGGAGTCTCAGAGAGTGGGCGAGGGGAGCTGGAGGAGGCCTTGGCCTCGGGTCCAGCTCCAGACCGCGGCGGCACCCCGGGGGGCGGCCCGGCCAGGCCGGTGAAGTGGGGCGGCGGCTTCAGCGACGAGTGCAACAAGAAGTGCCCCCCGTCGCCACGAAGGAGACCCAGACATGATGGCGTCGTAGAAACAATCAAGTCGGGAGGGTTTGGGCTAGTCTTCTGCCTCAGGGGGCCCTCGCCAGGCCTCGGCGCCGGCAAGCAACGACTCAGGATGAAAAACCGGCCCCAGGGAAAGGGTCGGGATTTCCAGGGACGCCTCACCACCTACCAAACCACCCCAACCCAACCCTAAGGCCTCCATTTGCCCTCCATTTCCAGTGGGGGGGGGGGTCGGGGAACATCGAAAAACACGTATGGAACCCATACCCCCCCCCAACCCGAAATTTGGGTCTTCGGGTTGGGTTGGGGTGGTCTGGTAGGTAGTCAACGCCGTCCTGAAAAAATCAGGACGTCGCATGTCTGGGGAAGGGTCTCCGAGGTCCGAGGATCCAGGCTTTCGGACGTTTCCTGCCCCTACCTTCTGCCTCCTGGGAGCGTTTTCATCGCCACGGCTGGATCTCCTCCGCGCCTGGGTCCCAGGAGTCGGCTGTCGGAGTCGCGATTCAGAGAAGAAGTTCTGGTGAAAAGGGGGTCTGGGAGGACTTGCGCCATTTTTGGGCTCCCCGGTCCCTCGACGGGCCGCGGCGCCGTCAACAAAACTGTTCAGGCCTCAGAGGCCGCCCCTGGGGGGAAAGCCCCAGAGAACAGGACCCGCCTGCACCAGAACCCTTTCCCTTCATGCCCAAGTTCAAGGTGAGGAGGAGAAGGAGGACGAGGAGGAGGATGGGGAGGAGGAGGAGCAGGGAATGCTGATGTAGTTGCACTTTTGGGGGGGGGGCTCCTGCGGGGCCTGGGCCGCCACGGTCGGGTCCGCCCCGAAACTCTCCCCAGAGTGCGCCCCAGGGGGGGAGCCCGGGTGTCGGTTGTGAGGCTCCTCGGTCAGGTACCCGCCCCACATCTTCGGCATCTTTAACCGGCTGTTCACGCTGCTGCCTGTCTTCGCGGTGGTGCAAGGCGGGGAAGTCCGCGGGAGGAAGGGAGGGCGGCCGAGTCGAGGTCCTCGGGAAGTTTGGACTCAGGCACGCTCGCATTGCAAAAGCAAGCGCGACGGAGAGTTTTCAGCTCGACGGAGAGTTTTCAGCCGTTGTCGGCTTCCGGGGGCCCTCGCTGGGCCCTGGGGCCGTCAGAAACGGCTGAAGATGAGAAATCGGCCCCAAGGAGAAGGGTCCGGACTTCTGGGGGCCCTACCAAAAGATCGGGTGTCTGGGGAGGTAGGGGACGTGGGGATGGGGCGGATGGAAAACTTGTCCGCAGAGCCCAACCGCTGAGACAAGAGCACCGCTCTCATGTACGGAGCCATCATGCATGGCGGCGTGAAACACTGGTGGGCATGCGTCCAGCTGGCCACATTCACTCTCCAGTGCGGAAGTGTCCGCCCTCTGGTACCCGGTCGAGGGCTCTTTGTTTGGTGTTGTCATATTGAAGGTCCTTCTAGCCCCTCGCATGGCGTCTGAAGCAGAGACGACCCAGCCAGACGAATTTAGCTTCTGTGTCTCGAGGTAATTACCTCCTGGTTCGAATCTGATCTGGGCCTTTCCATCCAACGTCGAACAAGCGACAACATACATGCAACTGTTCCCCACACCCGCACACTTGCTTCTTGGGTTGGCGCAGGAACCCCTCCCGCACACCCCTGTGCGGCACCTCCGGCGCCGGCCCATGCGCGCTCCAGGAAGGGGGTTGTGGGGACGGGGGCTCCTCGCCGAACCAAGAAGCTTGTGCAGACCTTCGTGGCGCGAAGTTTCGAAGGCAGGGCCCTCCCTAGGGGCCGCAGGGGTTGGGAAGAGACCCGCAGGCGCGCGTGCGGTGCGGCGTTGGAGCGAGGCGCCCGAAAGTTTGGGATGTGCGAGGGGGGGTATGGACGCAGCGCGACCCCAATAAGGGGGGTGCACGCCATGCAGTTCACATCGCCGCAATGCAACGCACAGCGGAGCATTGCATTGCACTGCATGGCACCGCGTAGCAGAATCGTACGCACAGAACGGCATACCATTGTGGAGCATAGCATAGCGCAGCATACAGTGGCACGGCGTAGCACAGGCAATACTTGCAGCGCGTAGCTTCCGTTGCAAGCCGCAGCTCTTAGAGCAGTGCTTGCACTTGGGGTGCCTTCTCCTTCGGAGTGCAGCGGGTGTGCTGGGGATTTGCCTTGTGCCCCGTGTGTGTGTGTGTGGCAGCTTGCGTTATTGCACGTCAGAGCATTGCTTAGTATGGCAGTCCGAGGGACCCAGAGGGCCCCCAGCGACCCCGAGGACCCAGTCGAGGAAAGGGAGGAGCAGGAGGAGCCGAGGATCCCAGGCGGCTGCCAGACCGACCCGCAGCTTAGGGCACCGAAAAGGAGGGCCACGACCATGAGCAAGACAGGAACCCAGACATCCTACGTCCTTTTTTATCACGTGTCTCCCCAGAGGTATGGACTTCGTCCTGGGAATCGCTATTTCATCCGGAGTCGTTGTTGATTGCCCTGGAGCATGGTAAGGGCCCCTGGATGCCGAGAGCTTACACGTATTCTGCGCCGTGGTTTGTTCTACGACGCGATGACGTTGGTGGAGAAGGAGGAGAAGGAGACAGAGTACGGAGAGGAGGAGGAGGAGGAGAAAGAAGAAGAGGAGGAAGAGAACAGGGGCGTGAATGCGAAGCTTACGTATGGTGGGTTCGTGTCTTGTCGACGCGGCGGCGACCCCAGCGCGGGCGTTCAAGGGTAAACGCCGCCAGTTGCCTGGAATCGGCCGACATCGAACGATCGGCGCTGACAGAAAGCCACGATCGTTCAAGATTTTCCTGGGACTTTTTGTGGGGGCCCTTTCGTCCTCACGTTTCGATCCGTTTCGAACTGTTGTTCAGAGCGCACACCAGGACAGGTCCAGAGGTCCATGTTACATGTTTTGACCGCCCAGACCCAGACCAACCCACGTCGTGAACTGGTGAACGGCTTCATCGTCGTGACACGTGCTCAGGTGTCGTTCATCGGGGATCATGTCTTGGACTTTTGGCGCGGATCCGTTTGATTCGCTCGCATATTTGTGGCAGATTGCTGCTAGGATTCAGGTGTTGGCATTTTGGCATGAGGCTGGAGGTGGTCTTCTGAGTTACCTTTCGCCGCGGTCGTGCTCTCAGCCGGGGGCGCGCGGGAGTCGCAGTGCGTGTCCCTGCGGCGTGGGCATCTCTTGCGGAGGAGTTCGTGGTCGTTGCCTTCGCTCTCGCGCTCCGACTCATCACAGGGCGTACGGAGTGTGCCTGGCGCCACAGTCGAGACGGAGGCTGGGAGGCCGGCTCCTCTGGGGGAGGGAAGAGAATTCAGGAGGGAAAAAACACACAGACACAATTAATCCTCGATTCCCAGGAAAATATGGGAAAATATGGGAAGTGGGGGGGAAGACAAAAACCCAGAAAATATGGGAAAATATGGGGACTATTTTTATTTGTGTGTATTTATTTGTGTGTCCCAGGGCCCCTTCAGAGAAGGCCTTCGCACGTCGTGCGAGTGTTGTGGGCAAGGTGCTGCCCCCCTTGGGGCCCTTCACACACACCGCGGGGCCGTCATCACCTTTGCTCCTCCCCTTTCCTCCCTGCCGCCTGCTTCCCTCTCCCTGCTTTTGCTGCTGCTGTCCACGCGTTTCGCTGACTTTTGTTGAATATTGTACTGCGAATGTAAACCGACGCCGTGCCTCTATACAGGGGGCCTCCTTCCCAGCAGCAAACATTATCTCACTCTCGGCATTGCAATTCTTAGTTTAAGCTGGCGAGAAAAAAACATACTTAAGACGGCGCGCTGGTCCCTGGGAGGGCCTCCAGAGCTCCGAGGTGCCACGTCGTAAAAGGTACACGGCGTCGGAGGTCTTGATGAAGAGGTCGCATATCAGATTGAGAGCCTAGATGGCTCGCGCGTTGCCCACAGCTGCGGCTTGAGACGGCAGAACGGCCCCAACAGCGAAACTAGTCTTATCGCGAACTGCGTTTGCACCTTGTGGCTGCCACTTCAAGACGAGCGAGGGACCAGCCCGCAGACTGAAGGTGGGGGTCGGCCGTCCTGGGCATCTTTCCGCATCCCCTCAAGGGGGCGTTCACGGCAAGCGACATGGACAACCATTGAGACAGGCAGATGGCCCTCGTCTCCAAACGATCCTGGCTTCACGAACCCTCACTCAGATTACCAATCTCGAGGTCGGTGGGGTTCGTCTCAGCTAGTTCTTTGGCCAGCTGGGCCAATGTGATCGGGGCTTTCAAACCAATTGGCGAATTCGCGGCCCCCTTTGGATGTCTGCCCTCCATGGCCCTCTGCTTCTGCAACTTGCGACCATGGTTCGGGGGCCTACCAGGGCATTCATTTTGAAATCCACGCGTACCTGCGGTGAACGTCCCACACGTCCAGCACAGAATCACACTAAGCGGAATGCTTTCACCAGCGTATGCGAAGAACTACGGCACGTGCCCTCACGGGTGATTCACTAGATCGTTGTGGCTCTGGCAAAAGCCTGGGCAATCTTCTAGGGCGCGACGCTGCATTGCGGCTTGGCTACCACAAAATTGTCGGCATGCAGCGCACAGGAAACGTTTCCCCCATTGGTGCCAATGATGTGTTCTTATCGGTGCGTGCTCGAGGTCGGGAGGAGGCCTCACAGGAGGAGGAGGAGGAGGAGGACGAGGGAGAAGGCCCCATGACGGTCAAGACGAACGAGGGACGAGCAAGGGCAAGGGTTAAGACCTTTTCTGTTAAACTCGGGGTTCACCCAGATACAGTACGAGGTAGCATGGCTTTGACTCTCGATAGTATGGCGGCACTTCTTGACAAGAAGTTTGAGGAGAACCTTGCACCGATCAAAGATAGCATCAAGCGCATTGACACTAAGCTGGAGAACCACGACGATCAGCTGCAGCAGCTTGAAGAGAAGATCGGGGGTCAGCAGTCCTCGTTCGTACCATCTTTCATCGAGATCTGGGGCATCTGCGAGTGGAAGGATCGTAAGTCGATTGGAATGACCAGGCCAGAGGCCATAGCATTGACGAGCCAGTTAAAGAGCGCTATCGACATCAACTTGGCCACCAAGGTGGGCGAGGTCGAGGTCCGGGGATCAAAGGTCCACAAATTCATCATCCACATCACGCCACCGCACGCCACGGAGATAGCTGTACTTTTCAGGGATGTCTTGAAGGGAGGGGGGGCGACTTATCAGCATCATGGCAACGAACTGTTCACTACTGTCCAGAAGTCGCCAGAAGACCAGAAGCTCTTCGAGGCGGGCGGCAAAGCCAGGGCGTACTTAGAGACTAAGGCGAAGGCCCTGGACGCGGCCAGCATCGTCAAGCACACCGGCCCACCCGACTTCGAGCTGATCGTGAGGAAGGGGGATGATGAGAGGGTCATGGGAGCAGTGGACGAGAGGGGGAAGGTGGTTTGGGATAGTACGGCCCTTCACAGGAACTTTGGATCCACCTCCGCCGTATTCGAGAAGGAGATGCGGTCCTTCCGGTCGCCGTGAGGCGGCCCGGAGTTATCTGAAAGTTGTTTCACCATCGTCTCTTGGAATACCTGTAAATTATGTAAAGAGCTTCGGAACTTTACGGGGGACTTCGTGGCGCTTGTACAGGAGGTACCTAGATGGGGCGATCTGCGTGGATTTACTTATTGTGGCCACACTGTTTTGTCAGCCGAGCAATGTGACTGTGCCCTTATTACTCCTAGATCCGGGATGCGGGCGCTCAGGGAGTTCAGTTCGGGGGACTATTGGTTTGGTGCCGCAGTGGGTAATGTAATTTACATCTCAGCACATATTCTAGACCATCTCGACGACGATGGAAGGGCGCAGCGGGTGTTTGAGGAAACTTCGCTATTCGTCCAACGAGTTCGCCTAGCTTACTCTTCAGTGGAGTTCGAAATCGTCTTAGGGGTCGACGCCAACGTTCAGTTCCCAACGCTCTTGAACGCCATGACGGGGGACGCAGTTTTGGACAGACGTCAAAGTCATTCGCATTCAAAGATATCAGTGGTTAGTTCTTGGATGGAGTCATTGGGAGTTCGTTTGCTTAACGCGTTTCGTACTTCAAGGGTGGAGGTGGATGGGGAGCTGTCGGCAAAACGCTTGTGGACCCACACCATGGCCGCTGCTAGGAAGGTAAAGTCGCAGATCGACTTCATAGGTGTATCTTCCGGTATTTGCGGGGAGGCTTGGGCCCAGAAAATGAAGCATAAGCTGTTCAGCCGATCTGATCACAGACCAGATCTTGCTCAGCTGACGTGCCACAGCGTATTGAGCGATCAAGTACCACCAACACCTTCCCTGAAAGGTTGGTGGCCATCTACATCTTCAGATTTATGTTGTTTTCGGCAAGTTTGCATTGATGATGTCGGTGCCGATTTACCTACGTACCAGCAGTGCGTCTTACGAGCAGCCCTCGACATCAATTTCCAGACAGTTCGTAGTCGACTGCGCCACAGCCGACGCGAGGCGAACAACCCGGTCAAGCTTGCCCGGAATGCGGTTACAAACGCGAAGCCGGAGGAGAAAAAGGATTTGGTCAAAGAGCTCAGGAGCAAGATCCGCGACGCTAAGCGCACGAAACATGAGGCTCAGCTGAAGAACTTTTCCATGGTATAAAAACAGTGCCGCACACCAACTACATTATTAATCAATGGGGCCGCTACCGCGGACAGAAATACATGGCGGAAAGGCGCTTTAGAGTTCGGCAGACAACGTTTCGGAAATGATCGTAACACGCATCACATACAGGGTCATCGCCTATCTTCCTTGGAGGCGGTAGCGCAGAATCAACGTCTTGACGGGCGGCCTGGGCCTTCAATTTCTCCTTGGAACGTGCTGCAGGGGAGGGCCAAACTGAAAGCAGGCAAAGCTTCTGGCAGTGATGGCGCTGTTCCGGAGATCTACAAAGCGCTGCCCCAACTCAGTGTGTATGAATTTTGGAAGTATTTTACACATCGTTTTTCTGATTCTACGTCTCCGGATCCGGCAAGCTGGAAGACGATTGACTTCACGGGTATTCCAAAGATCACGACCCCGAGAGATCGTTCTGATTTTCGCTGGGTTGGTAAGCTGGACGTTTGTGCGACATGGTACGTATGGAGCCTTCAACCACATATCCCAAAATCCATATCCACCAGTCGTGTGGTCACGTTTGGATTCAGATCTGGATGTTCGTGCGATGACGTCGTCTGCGCGCTCCGCCAATGTATCTTCACGGCGGCTCGATGGGGCAATAATTTTGTTCTAGGAGCTCAGGACGTCGAGACCGCCTTCGACAGCATGGAGCATGAACATACGACATCGGCATTCGCATCCCGGGGAATGCACGCTTCTTTGACGAAGGCCTTACTGCGTGAAGTTTCTGGTGCGAAGTGCAACCTCACTCTACCTGGTGCTGATCCCACCGATCGCTTTGACTTGGAACGCGGAGGCAAACAAGGGGGCATCGAGACGCCAGAGGAATTTAACCTAATGCTTGAATTCGCCATGGGAACCCTGATCGGAAAGTGGTCTCAATGTGGTTACGTCTTCACTCAAGACGAGGACGGTTTACAGCGAGTGACACATTTGATTTGGGCCGATAACATTTTCTTGATGGCATCATCGGTCGCTGAGTTTACTTGTATGGTCCAGGATGCCACGACCGCCATCGTTGATTTGGGCTTCAAATGGAAGGCATCTTCACTGGAATGCATGTTGTGCGGTCCTATCGCGAAGGAGGGCGTCGAACGTTTGTCGGTGGCGGCAGACAAGACTTACAAGTTCAAGCTTGTGCAGAACATGTTAGTTTTGGGAGTAATGTTGAGGTCCGACGGCGATACTACTACCAGCGTGGATCATAGGTTGGGCGCTGCTGAGAAGAACTTTTGGTGTAACTGCCGAGTTCTGAAAGGGCCTGGGAGCATCGCTTCAAAGCTGAAGGCGTGGGCGAGAGGGCCGGCAGCAAGTGCAGCCTATGGATCTTCATCGTGGCTTCTTTCACAACGCACGTTGTTGAAAGTAAAGAGGTGGGAATTCAATATGTTACGGTGCATGTTCCGATTACGGCGCAAACCAGGAGAAGGCCACGGACAGTTTATGATCCGCAGCGCTAGGTTTTTGGAGCGTCAGTTTCAATCACTACGGATCCGGCCACTGCACAGTCGCATCTTGATGAACGTATTTAAGGGTGCTTGGCGAGAGACGCGTTCGTGCTCACCGAATGGGTCAAATTATTTACGCTTCAGTCGCAATTTCCGCACACGGCAGTGGTGGATATCATTGCAGGCGCTTGGCAGCGAGCACAAACGACGAAAATTAGGCTTGGTGCGCGACGGCTATGGCCATCGCGTCGAGTGGGAAGATACGTTTGTGACCGTTTTCGGCGTTGACTGGCGGAGCAAACGAGACCAATGCACCACGGAGGCAGAGTGGATGGCATGTTTCCCACAGTTCGAATCGCACCTATGCGATTCGTGGGGGCTGTTCAAGTACAGTGCAGATGTTGTGGCGCCCGTGAACGGCATGACCCAGACCGGCCCTAAGCGGAGAAGGAGCGCCACCCATCCTTTGAACCAGTTGCCGGACTGCCATGGCGAAGGTGTTCCTGAAATCCAGTGGGAGGAGCCGAAAAAACGCATCGTGTTTATCACAGATTGTAAGCCTCTGGCCGGCGTGATCAACGGGGAGACCGTGCTTTCGGACCCAAGTCTGGCTCCCAGGTTCGAGCGCATCACCCGCAACATCTTCAGCATGTTTCAGTCGAATTGGCGCCCAGCGCGTGACATCGACGATGAGGTCTGCTGGCAGCAACGGGCGTGGAACGTTCGAGCCGATTACCTGGTCAAGCACACCATGGAAAGCCGGAGGTTCTGGTTTCAATCTGGTCGAATTTCCACCGAAGACCTTGCGAATGCGAGCTTCTTGGTGCACACAGATGGCGGCACGCGTGCCGGGACGTGCTCAGCAGCTGCTTGGTGCATCGAGGCGGTTGTGTGCAAGGGGGCCTATGCAGTGACGACCCCGGTAGTCATAGCAGGAACTTTTATCAGCGATCCGATCTCTTCCTTCACGGCGGAATCGATTGCTCTAGATGTAGCAGTCGAGGCTGTGAGGAAACTTACGCTTGAAATATGCAGCCGGCCGTCCAACATGTGACCTAGGCCTCGAGAAAGAAAGAAAGACCTCCTCCATCCTCATCCTCCTCTGGTTCCTCGCCGCGCCCGCGCTTGTCCTGGTCCTCCTCTTCGCCCTCATCCACTTCCTCTCTTCCCCATCCACTCCTCGTACTCCTCGTCGTCCTCCTTCTCCTCCTCTCCTCCCCTCCTCCCCTGCTCCTCCTCCTCCTCATCCTCCTCTTCCTCCTCCTCTGTCATCTCTTCTCATTATAAGTCTGTCATCCCTGTTTCACCCCCAAACGTGTCGGCCGCGCGCATTCGGTGTAACACTGCGCCACAGCTTCAAGGATGGATGGCGGCCCTTCAAAATGTGGCCCTCGTCTTTTTTGCCCCGCGCATTCGTTTTACAAGTCTGCAACAGCTTCAGGGATGGAGGGTGGTCCAATTTCAAAATGTGTTTTTCTCCCCAGCGCCGCGCACCTTCGTCCCAACAGTGTGCAACATATTCAAGGATGGAGGGCGGTTCCGTGTCAAATGTAGCTCCCGCGCTAGCGCCGCGTATATCCATCTTGAAAGTTTGCAGCTGCTTCATGGGTTCGCATGGTTGAAATCACTGAAATAGCGTTCTAGCTCGGTTCTGGGTTGTAAGGGGACAATCACGCTGATTCGCGGCGTTGAAATACGAGGAATGGTGCTCTGGCTATGTCACTCATTGCCAGGTCGCATCCGCCACGTTGATTCGTGGCGATGATCCCATGAATGGGCTTTCTTTTTACCGACCGCAAAACAGCTCGCGGATTCTCAGGCTGATGTCTACCAACGGGGCACCTCCCGCAATGAAGATATGTCCAGAACTTGGAGGGGGGGCGTTTTTTTCAACATCGTGAATGCGTCTTGGGTTTGCACTGGTCTTCCTCCTCCTCCTCCTCCTCCTCCTCCTCCACTGCTCCTCCTCTCCCCCTCTCTCCTCCTCCTCCTTCTCCTCCTCCTGCTCCTGCTCATTATCCTCGTCACCCCCCTCCTCCTGAATCCCCCGCCCTCTCGTCCCTCCTCCTCCCCTACCTCCTACGCCCCACCGCGCCCCCCGCCAGAGATCCGACGTTTCGACAAAAACACAATATCGCGAACAACCACGTCCAGGGGCCCTAGACTCCATCTGTCCGTTGCATTTTTCGAGCTGGATCTATATGTGATGGCCCCGCGGCTCGACTTGGGCGAAAATGTACTGTGTGAAGAAGTTGCAAAGCCAAGATCTCTGGGCCACCCCCGCGCCCCTCCCTGACCCCAGGAGATATCTTCGTGGTGCACGCCGGCCTCTTCAGGAGCCCCGGCGTCACCCTGGAGCAGCTGCGCTCCCTGCCCTACCGGGAGCACCGCCCAGCCAGAGGGGCCTGGGTGCATCCGATCAGGGGCAGCGTTAGGGGGGGAACAGGCTCAGGGGAGGATGCATCGACTCCCAGCGCCCACTCATCGCTGATAGGGGCCCGATAGCCCACCGACCCCAGGATCTGCGGTTTCGCTATGCGGGGCCCATCGCCGGTGTATCGGCGATGTATCGCCGATTACAGATCAAAGTTTCTCCCCCCCTGAGCTGGTCCCCCCCCCCCTAACGATGCCCATCATCTGAGGACCAGCTCGGGCCTTTGAACTTCGAAGTGCGAAAGTTGTTGTAGGTTTTCCGCATTTCCGGGGCCTCTAGGGAGCTTCTCGTCGCCACGGGTGGATCTGCCTCGAAAGCTTGGTCAGAACGCACCCCACAGCATGTCCGGCGGGTCGACGTTTGACCCAGGACCCTGACATACTCGCGCTGCGACATGAACGCATTTTTGTCACAGGGTTCGGCTTCCGGGAGCCCTTGCCATGGCCCCGCGGCCGTGAACAGACGGCGGCTTGCGGCGAAGAGCCGTTCCTCGAGAGAAGTCCAGACCTTCTGGGGGCCACGTTGTGAAATAGTCACGATGTCGGATGTCTGGGGAGGAGGGCGTCCTCCCCCTCGCCCTCCACCATTTCCAGCCTGCCACTCTCCTCCTGGTCCTGCCTTGTTTGATGCCAATGTGTAGGAGGTTGGGGGGTGAGATCGTCTTGAAACGGAGACCCCCACCAGAAAATCTGCTTTAGTTTCGTAATCGTGCAGCGCGTGCTGGCGAGGCCAAGCTGCGTCTGCGGGCGAGAGGAGTGGTCCTGCCGATGATGGGGCGAATCTCCTTCTGTCCGGATGGCGGATTGTGCCCGCGATTGTCCCACGGTTGTCCCGCGATTGTCCCGTGGTTGTCCCGTGGTTGTCCCACGGTTGTCCCGTGGTTGTCATGTGGTTGTCCCAACGGTTGTCCCGATGGTTTTCCCGATGGTTTGTCCGATGGTCGAATGATTGTTTACTAGCGAGATCTATATATATATATATATACAGAGAGGGAGATCGACGCATGCATTGATAGTGATATCGGTTGACCTATTGTGGTATCGATGGGTAGGTAGTGGGATCGAAAGACGGACAGCTATATCCAGCTGCCTGCGGCAAACTCCGCGCAATGCCAACGCGTAGTCTGCATTGGAACGGGTCGCAATCCCGACCTCGCCTTCGTCCGCGCGGTAGGGAGGATGAGGAGGAGGAGGAGCAGGCGGAGGAGGATGAGGAGGAGGATGAGGAGGAGGAGGAGGAGGAGAAGGAGGAGGAGGAGGAGAGGGAGAAAATGAGGATGAGAAGGAGAAGGCTTCTTGGGGCCTTCTCGGGGGCCTATTGGGGCCCCTTGGGCCGTCTGAGGGGACTCTTGGCCCGTCTGACGCTTATGGAGGCCGCCTTGGGGGCATCTCTAGGCCGTGCTGGTGCCCTCTTGGAGCTGTGCACGGCCGTCTTGGGGTCCTCTTGGGAGCCTTTTGGGCGATCTTTGGACCCTTTTGGGCCAACTTGAGGCCCCCTTGCGGGTCTCTTGGCTTGTCTTGGAGCTATATTGGAGGCATCTTGGAGGCTTCTTGGGCTGCCTCGGTCGGTCGGAGACCCGAACAGGCGAGAACCTCAAAATCGATCAAACACCTCAGGGACGTCAATGGTGTTGGCCTCCTTGAGCTCTCCAGGAGGACCTCGCGGGGCTCTCGTGGGCCGTCTTGGGGGTTCTTGGGCTGCCTTGAGGCTGTCTTGGGAGCCTCGTGAGCCGTCCTTGGCCACCGTGGTGACATCGTGGTTGCCTTGAAGGCCGTCCTGGAAGCCATGAGGCTCCCAAGAAGGCTCCAAGGCAGACCAGGAGGCCCCCACGGCGGCCCAAGAGGTCTCCAAGCGGCTCTCCAGGAGAGCCCGAGGAGGCCAGAACCATTGAATGTCCTCAGGGGTTTGAGGGATCTTGATGTTCTGGCAAGTTTGGGTGTTGGACCGCCCAAGGCAGCCCACGGGGCCTCTTTGAGCAGTTTTGTTGCACTCTTTGAGCGCTTCAGGGCCGTCTTGGGGCCCTTTTTGGGAGCCCCTTGGGCGCTCTGTTGGTCCTCTTGGGTCCACGTTGGGTGCCCTCGTGGGGGCGGGCTGTCTTGGATCTATCGTGGAGGCATTTTGGAAGCCTCTTGGGCCATCTTGAGCCGTAGGAAAGCCGAACAGGCGAGAACCTCAAACTCCTTCAACAACCTAAGGAGCATCAATGGTGTTGGCCCCCTTGGTCTCTCCAGGAAGGCCTCTTGGAATTTCTTGGCCCGTTTGGGGAGCCTCTTGAGCCGTCGTGAGGCCCTCATGGGAACCTCTTGGGCCGTCTTGAGGCTGTCTTGAGAGCCTCTTGGGCTATCTTGGGCCATCTTGAGCCGTTGTGTCTTTTTCGCGGTCTTGGAAGCCGTCTTGAAGGCCATCGTGGCCGTCTGGAGGCCGAAAAGACCTCCCCAATGCCATTTCAGAAGGGGCGGTTTTCGAGCGGTACGTGCGGGAAGGAGGGGAGGGCGGCGTTAGGGCATGCATTTCAAAAAAACACCCGAGCAACAGGACAAGCAAGCATTCTAACAAACACGCCCACTCCGTGCGGGCATGTTGGACGAGGCGGTGGCCACCCAGGTCGGCGGACGTCAAGGGTGCAAGTTCGGGGCCTGCCTGTTCAATTCCACGTTCAGCGCTGCACTGGTCATGCTTAGCGGTGTGCTAGTGCAGGCTGGCGTTGTCCTGCAGGTCCGCCGCCACGACGCAGCCCCGTGGAGACGGGCGCCCCCCCTGGCGGGGACGGCGTGCCAGTGGACGTGCTTGACGCAGCACTTGTTGACGTTGAGGTTTCTTCGAGGTTTCTTTCGGTCTCCTTCTTTGAGGTTTCTTTGTGTTTTCGTTGTGGTTTCTTTGAGGTTTCTTTGAGTTTTCTTCTTTGAGCTTTCGTTGACGCACCGTCCGCATTGTGTCTGGAGCTTCTTCCCGGCTCCTGGACGCGGCCGTCGAGGCGTTGCTGAAGCACGACGTGCAGAGCCGCTGCGCGGCGCTCCACCTCGAGGTCTTAACTGGAGCGTCGGGAAGCCGGAGGCCTCCCTCCTCTACGGAGGGCACGAGGCTGCGCAGCGCACGCGCGCGCGCCGTCCGGCCCGCGGAGGCCCTCTGAGCATTCCTAGACAGTGAGCGGCTTGAATAAGGAACACTTCCTTTTCCAAAGGGGCTCGGTCGTTCCTTAGGCTTGCATGCGTTATTCATCCTTCCTTAATGCGTTATTTGTTATGTGTCGTTCCTCATGCGTTACTCCTTGGGATAAAAAGGGGCTTCGTTCCCTATGTATCGTTCCTTAGGTCAGGCCGATGACTGTACTCCTGGGGCCCCATCCACGCTGGGTGTCGTGCCCCAGTAGAAGCACCTTGGGGGCGAAATGGCTGCCTCGGGCTCTCTTCAACTTCTCCCCTGGGCACAGGTCGGAGGCAACGCGCCCTGGCTGCGTACGCCCCGCTGACCTTGAAGACTTTCGGGTCGTTCAACATCGCGCTTGATCTAAAGCAGTGGCTGTTTCAGACTTTGATCATGCCACGTCTGATGTACACTTTGCATGTAGTCGCACCTACGCGCCATCTTGTATCCATTATCAACGATGTGCACATGCGCGGACACCGCCGCATGCATGGCGCCGCGCGGGCCGGCCGGGGAGGGCAGACTAATCTTTGCCGACTCGATTTGCGACGTCTGGGCTCTTCCCGACGACGCGCAGACAGGCCGACCTCACGTGCGTACATATTGCCAATTGGCGCTTGCCACTGCAAAACAACTTGCCCAACGCAGGCGAATTACATATGGGAAGCGCTGCCCCCCAGCGATTCTACGCACCAGCCAGTGCAGTGGAATCTGCCCGGCGTGCCACAAAACGTTTGGCACCAGACTGGCATTCTTGAGCCGCCTGTGCGACAGCAGGCGCACTACATGTTGGAGCGCCATCGCACGAAACCCTATGCGGTACACCAAGATGCCGGCATCCACGGTGGATGCCCTGGATGATATAGATGTAGACCGGGAGCCACGCAATATTGCCCGCAAATGTGGTCACGCGCGCGCGCCCTCGCAACAGGCGGGTGCGTGCGGTGTGACGGCACGCACTCTGGCCGCCCGACCACTTGCCGGGCAGAGCTAGCGTGTGACGAATGTATGGCTAGCTGTGTTTTCTTGTGACGCTGCTGCGCGCAACCCTTGCGCAACAAAAATACATGTAGATAGTGCGATAGATATGGACAGTGGCGGATCTTTACACGTATGAATATACATATGTAGTGGGATCGGTTGATCTATAGATCAATAGCGGTTGTGCGATGGATGGGCACAGTTGTCCAGATGATTGTCCCGTCGTTGGTTCCTCCCCCCAAACCGTCCTAATCGGCTTTTGGCCGTTCTGGTTTTATGAGTGGCTGGTTGGGCCGCAGGGAGTGTTCGCACAGCGCCCTTGCCTCCTTCTTCGTCCTTGCGTGTCAGGTTTTCTTTTGACGGACGCCAGCCACGTGGTTGGATAATGTCAGGCCTACAACTTGTCGTTGGCGGTCTGCGTCTGAAAGCTAGTCATCCTTTTGCTTCTGCTTGGCGCCGTCAAGATGTGCGCCAGTGGCTGGGCAGCTTGCCGGCACGATCGCGCTGCTTGCTGGCAGGGTGGGCAACAAGTTGGCAAGTCTGCCCTCGTGGAAGGACGAGGAAGAAGACCAGCAGAACAAGCAGGAGGGAGGATGATCGGGAGGTGTTGGACGAGGCTGCACGAGGACACGGAGTAGCAGGAGGAAGCGCGGGAGGATGAGGAGGGCGGAGGAGGGCAGTGGAGGGAGGGGAGGGAGGAATAGGAGGAGACGCGAAGAGGAGAAGGAATCAGGATGAGGAAGAGGAGCCCGTCGGGCTTCGACGAGGGTCGTGGGCAAGACGCGGCAGGGGGGGGCCGTCGACGGCGACGTCGCCGACGGCGACCACGGCGACGGCCAGCACGACGAGTGGCGGCAGCGGCGGGCGGCAGCGGCCGAGCGCCCAGCGCCCGAGGAGCACTACCCCGATCCGCCGCAGGCCAACAAGTCAGGCCGAGACGCCGCTGGCGCTTGCTCCCTCCCCCGAATCCTCTTTCCTTCTCTTCCTCCATCCTCCTCAGTCCTCCTCCCTCCTCCTCCTCCTCCTCCTCCTCCTCCTCCTCCTCCTCCTCCTCATCCCTCCTCCTCCTCCTCCTCCTCCTCCTCCTCATCCTCCTCCTCCTCCTCCTCTCCTCATCCTCATCATCATCATCATCATTATCATCATCATCATCATCATCATCATCATCATCATCATCATCATCATCATCATCATCCCTCCTTCTCCTCCTCCTCCTCCTCCTCCTCCTGCCTCCTCCTCCTCCATCCTGGACTCCATCCTTCTCTCTCCCTCTCTTCCTCGTCGTCGTCCTCCTCGTCCTCCTCGGGCTCCCTTGGGAATGCTGTCTGCTTCGGGATGGGCTCAGGTGAAAGATTGGGGTGGTCCTCGTATGCCGCTGCTGCTGCATTCCTGCGCTGCCGCGGATGCTCAAACTGCTCCAGTTACGTTTTCAGCACACTAATATTCTCGATCACCTGCGCCACATATCGAGTACATGGGATCGTTCTCTGCGAGTGGGTGTCTTTGATGACGCTCCTCTGGCCTCTGCCAGGCCGCGGGCTGACTGGCTCGCTGCAGCTGGCTCGCACTGGCGCTCTCGGCCGCTGCTCACGGGATGAGAACAAGCTGCTCGTGCTCATCCTGACTCAGGTTATGCCCGCGACGTGGTTTGAGTGCTGTGTGCGCACAAGTCGTGGGGAGGTGCAGGTCGTGACCCGCTGGCCCCGCCCGCAGCGCGCCGCCACACGTGCCCTCCATGCTCATCTGATGGACCCCTGGCCACTGAGTGGTGCAGCACTCCAAGAGAACCTCGAGCGATACCTCACACGCAGTGGGAGCCCTTTCTCGATCGAGTCGATTGGTTGTCCATTGGGCAGCTCCTTCTCCTGACCTCGTGCAGCTGGGAAATGCTGGTCGTCAAAACTTCCAGTCCTGGGTGGCTCACGAGCTACCCCATTCAAAACCTTGGAGGCTGACGTCAATGCATTTTCGGGTGCGAGCCGGAAGAGGACCGACAGCTTCACTAGATGAGATGCCGCCTTTTGTGGGAAGTAGTGTCGGGTGCTCCCGAGTACCCGCTTCTACCGCGCCTGGCTGAGAGTCCCGGCTTGCGTCAACCTCACCTCCGACATATCGAAGCGATCGTGGTCTGCTACAATGTGTATCACTCGTTCCGTCAGGTCAGCGGCTGTACGCCACTTCTTCTGACTTACGGTCTGGCGCACGTGCTGCAGTTCGGACGCGTCGACTCGTGTCACTTGGCGCCACCCTAGCTGAAGCGCCCGCGCCGCTATGTCTGACCCGGCTTCGTCTTGGCGGTCAGATCACGAGTTCGTCTTCATCCTCCTCGTCTACAATCGGGGGAGCGTAAGACCCGGGTTTGCCAGGACTCGGGTTCGCCATCGTTTTTTGACGACCGCGATTCGGATTTTGACGAGTAGGAGTTTCGTTGGATGTCTGCAGCGGGAGGCCTCGTCAAAATGCAGGCTCGGCCTCGTCATTTTTTGACGACCTCGTCGGGGATTTCCGTGTCCCCCGTAACCGGGTCTTACGTCTTCCCGATACAAGTGGGACGTCGGAGCAAGATCGCCATTATTTGTTGGCTTGTTGAGCGCCACCTTTTCTTACTCCTCGCCTTGTGCCAGAACCTGATGATGGCTGTAGCTCTGGATCTGATGACAACCATGCCGAAAGTGTGGTGATGTTCGACATTCTCCTCAGCCTTTCTCGACGAACGTACGCCCCGACAACCCAAGTGACAGCCATAGCCACCCCTTTTCGACCAGGACCTCATGGTGAACTCGTCCCTCCCTGACATCGACGGGATGAGTATAGGAGAGTTGGCTTCACAAACCAGGATTTTCACGGGTGCTTCTGTTGCGCCGCCGACTAGGATGTCCATGGGTGCTTCGTTTGCCGCGTCGCCGAGGATGGCGAGCAGCGGAGCACTGACGACCAGATCGAGAGTGCCAAGCAGATCTTCAGGACTGCAGCTCTGCCCTGGCCTGCGCACTGAACTTCCGGCCGGCGCTTCAGGCCTCGACCCGACCGCTCGGGCGCGAGAGGCCACACGCATCGTGGGTCTCCGTGCAGCGGCTGCTGCGCAGAGCATCAGTCGGCTACACGCAAGAGTGACCTGGGTGAGAGTGACCTTTGGTGCGCGGCTTCTCGGGGCCGCGGGGGGGGGGGGGGGGGCACAAAAACAAGCGCGCCAGCCGCTGTTACCGCTTCTCTTTCGGCCATCTGGGGGCCCATCTGTGCCCGCTCTAAAGGTCACTCCGGCGAAAGGTCACTCTTACGCCTAGTCGAATCCGAGTCGCAGAATACAAGAAAACGGAGTGCTCTGCTCGGTGTCCACATGCAGAAGTTGATCGTGGCTGCGAGCCCCGGTTTTGACCGACGGGTTCCCACGTACCCAGCCCCACCTCTGCCTCTGTGTCTGTCGGGCCGGACGAAAGGGGGGGATCGGGAAAGGGGGGGGTAAAAAATTTGCTGCATGCAGCTGATTTCTTGGCGGCGAGCAGAAGGGGGTAGGGGGAGGGGGGAAGGCTTCTGAGAAGGAGGCTGCTTCTTAGAAGGCGCCGGCCTTACATCTACAGAGAAGGCCCGCACCTTCTAAGAAGCAGGGGTGCTTCTAAGAAGCCTTCCCCCCTCCCCCTACCCCCCTCTGCGCGCCGCCAAGTTTCGGCCCCACCGAGGTACCCATTCCTCGATACATGGCCGCCTCCGGCGCCGGGAGGCGCCGGGAAAATCAGCTACGTGAGCTGATTCTCAGACCCCCCCTTTGCTATCCCCCCCCTTTCGCCCGACCCGAGTCTGGTATTTCCTGACAGTTCGCGCTGCGCAGGAGGAGCCCCGAACTATCGCGGGCGCCTGATCGTTGCAAGCTTCAGCCCTAACATTCAGGGCAAGCCGTGCTGGGAAGGAACCTGAGGGACCCGCGAACCCAGTAAGGAACTTGAGCCAAGCTTTCTCTGACGCGCGTGCGCCAAAAAATAACCCTGGGCCTGAGCCCTTGCCGGGAAAAACTGCACGCTGGAGCCCTTCACGGGCCATCTCAGCAGGCACAGTCGAATTTTGCTTGGCAGAACTCCTCCTCCTGTTGCTCCTCCTCCTCCGCCTCCTCCTCCTTCACCCCCTCCTGCTCCTTCTGCTCCTCCTCCTTCTCCTCTTGCGCCCTCCACCCAGTCTCTGGGTCGCGGGGACGGACTATGACAAGTAATGCATAGTCTCCACGCCGTACAGTCGAGACGCCGAGATAAAGAGCAACCTTGGGCTCAGGAGTGGGTCTGGTTTCTGGGCTGCTCCTGAACTCTAGGTCAAAGAACCTACGTAGGTCGGGGAACAAATTCGCGGCCGAGGCCCGACATTGCGTTCCTTATTCACGTCGCGATTGCTTCACAGCCTGGCCCCCGAGAGGTCTGGAGCTCTTCCTGTGGACCGGATGTTCAGCCTGGGTCGCTTGCCAACAAACTAGCGGCCCGGTGAGGGCCCAGGGAGGGCGAAGACTACAGAATACCTTTCCGACGTCGTGATGCTTTTTACACGTCGCGAAGATGTCAGGGACTTGGCATTCAGCATTGTAGCACGATGGCTGCAGTGCAGGGGCCCCACCTCATGTCATCCAAAGGCCGCAGGCTTATGAGGCGGCGCTCCCACGACGGTGCTTCCCTCTCAACTTTTGCCTCTTGCGCCTCCCTGTCCTCCAAGAGGAGGGGGAGGCGGAGAGGAAGAGGAGAAGACAGGGATGGGAGGCGAACTTCGGGAGATTTCAAGGTTCTCCTTCTTCGTCACCTCGTCATTCTCTGAATCCTTAGCTGCCTCGATACTTACGCCCGTTTCTAACGCAACACGTACAGTGCTCAAAACGTCCGTGTCAATACGATCCGTGGTGGCTCAACGTATTGGCCCACGTTTTGGCGAACGTACCGCCCGTCAGACCTACGTTTTCAGTCTACGTGTTGCGCTCTATATTAATAGGCTGCATGTTGCGTGTTGCGTGTTGCGTATCGGGGCAGCTAAGCTCCGTATCGTGTTGGATCAAATTTTTAGAGGAGCGACACCTACGCTTATATTCATCGTACTACACTTGCGTACTATCACGAGTCCCGATGTTGTCCCATGCTTTGGCAGGTATGGCGCTGCTCTTGCTACGTGCCGACCTGGCCAGTGCACTGTCCATGAAGAAGATTGGCCCGTCGTTGCTGCTTGATGAGAACGAGCTCGAACCTACAAACCAGGCTGTCCACTTTCGCCCTGAAGTGAGAAACGCGTACAGGAGCATAGGAGGCGAGACTGACTTCTTAGAGGAGCACATGGGGGCGTACCGTTCGGCCAGGCAGCTCCTGGACGGAGCTCGAAACATGAGCCACTCGAATCACATTCTGCACTTTGTAATGTCGCACCCCGGAGCTCCGGTGCTGCCCCCAGGTGGGTGTCTGTACCTGCCGAACGACCGGGTATGGGCGTCATTCTATCGGCACGTGGAGCACCCGTACCCCGCCCTCTTCACGGAGATGATCGCCAATTCGTACTACCCCAGTTGCGAGAACACGTCGCTCTCGGGCCTGAGGCTGCCGTCCTCCTGCGGCGTCGGAGCCATGCGCGGCTCCAGGGGATGCTTCAACGTGACCAGCGTCGGTAGCACCACCGGCATCTCGGTCTACGAGACCGCCGGACACATGGGGCTGCCGGACAAGTGGTCCTTCCATATCGAGCACGCGAGGCCGCACGGGGGCTCCGTGGAGCGCAGGGCGAAGGCCTCCGCAGGTGCGCTGTCCCCGTGCGGCGCGTCCAGCACCCTGCCCGAGGTGCCCGCTGCCAACCGCTTGGAGATCCCGACGAGGTACGTGGTGTGCCGGACGTCCGATGACGACGACACCATCACCGAGGAGATGGTGCGGGAGCTTGGCGGCGCGCAGAGGGGGGCATGGGGAGGGGGGTTAAGGCTTCTCAGAAGCACCCCTGCTTCTTAGAAGGCGCGGGCCTTGTCTACAAATGTAAGGCCGGCGCCTTCTAAGAAGCAGCCTCCTTCTACGAAGCCTTCCCCCCTCCCCCTACCCCCCTCTGCGCGCCGCCAAGGAGCAGAACGAGTGGGCCAACCAGGCCTTCAGTGGTCGCTCGCCCTGGACGCGCATGGACTTCGACGACGGGCATCCAGTGTCCGTGGACATGCAGATTAGCTTCAAGCTCGTCGACGTCAATATCGTTACCGACGCGCAGTGCGCCAAGTACGGGTTCACGAACCTCGAGTCTCTGCGGAAGTACAACCCGAACCCAGAAAAATATCTCACCGTGGTCATCATCACAAAAGATGCGTCCGGCGTCCTGGGTCAGACGACTTTTCCGTTCGAGACGCCAGAGGACAGCCTGGACCAGATGGTCGTTGTGTCGGCCGTTGGATTCCGGGGGTACGCCAGCCGGCACAACGAGAATTTGATGTACGACGAGGGGGACACCGTGGTGCACGAGAGCGGACACGCGCTGGGCCTGTACCACACCTTCGAGAACGGCTGCTCCCGGTGGGAGCAGGGCGACTACGTCGAGGACACGGCTCCGGAGCGGCTCCCGCACTACAGTTGCCACGTCGAAAACTCGTGCGGCCAGGCCGATCCCGTCCACAACTTCATGGACTACTCGCCCGACACGTGCATGGTTGGCTTCTCGGACGGCCAGAAGCGCCGCGCCCATTGCGTTGTCGAGCACTTCCGGCCCATCCTGTACGGGGTGTCGCTGAGGAGGTGAGTGATCGAGCAGTCGGTCTCCTCCCTCCCAGAGGCCAAAAATCTGCACGTAGTTTCGGGTGTCCGTGCGGACTTCTCGGGTCGCCACCGGACACCCCGTCCCCGCACCCCCTGGGCCGCGCCTCTGGCGCCGCCTCCTGTGCGCGGGATGCGTGTGTGCGTATGTGTGTGTGTGTGTGTGTGTGTATGTGTGTGTGTGTTTGTGTGTGTGCGTGTGTGTGTGAGTGTGTGTGTGTGCGTGTTTTTGTTCGTGTTTGTGTGTGTGTGTGTGGGTGTGCGTGTGTGTGTGTGTAAGTGTGTAAGTGTGTGTGTAAGTGCGTGTGTGTGTTTGTGAAATGTGTGCGTGTGCGTGTGTGTGTGCGTGTGTGTCTGGGTGTGTGTGCGTGTGTGTGTGTGTGTGTATGAGCTGGCCCAGTCCGCGCGGTCTTTGCTCGACTTGCCCTACGCCGCGCCTCCGCGCGCGTAGCCGCGACGCCAACAAAGTGTTTGTGTGCATGTGTGTGTGCGTGTGTGTTCGTGAGTGTGTGAGTGTGTGTGTGTGTGTGTGTGTTCGTGTGGGAGGTCAGCGCTAACTCGAGAACTCCGCGCTGACTTCCGAAACAGCACCTGTATGGCAGGCTCGTGTCGTGTCGATGCCGCGTCGAGCCCAGCGCAGGCCTGCAAGGCTGAACGCCGCCAGTGGCTCCGAGTCGGCCGACATCGAACGATCTTCGCTGTCGGGCAGCCGCGATCATTCAACGATGAACGATTCGTCGGAAACCAACGCCGGTGCCATCGCGACGCAATCGGGCCGCCATGCAGTGTTGTTGCCTTCCGTCCTCCTCCTCCTCCTCGGTCCAGACAGCCAGGGCGGCCACCAGAAGCACGCACACCGAGGACATGCCCGGCAGTGCGAGGGGCTTCTGAGGGGGCCCTTGCGATCGATTCCGCCAAAGCAGCAACTCCTGAGTTCAGGACGAAATATTGCGTTTCTGTTGCTGTCGGCAGGAGTATCGCGAGTCTCTGCGGCTCCGCTTGGCAGACGCGGGGGGCGCATCACAGTGGTGTCGCCCCAGCTTTTCCACGCGATCGTATTGCGAAGGCCGACCTGAAGGGGTGTACCGTGCAGCAGACGCGTGGGGCGCATCACAGTGGTGTCGCCCGAGCTTTTCCACGCGACCGTTTTTTTTCTTGGCGCAGGATTCTGAAAGACCAGTTGTATCATCCTCCTCGTAACCCATCCCCATGAACTAGTTTGCAAGTCCTTGAAGGTTGAATTCAGCATCGACGCGAGTATATCCGTGATCGAAGCCTGTCCAAATCCGATACAATCTTGTTTGGTCCGGCTTATCTTTGGGTTCAGTCCAGCTCAAGATGGCTTAGTAGATCGGGCTTCGTAGCCCTTATTCGTTCCCACGAAGACCTCGCAAGAGTTGTTTCGTAATCTCAGCATCCTCTTCGTCCCCCCGCCTGCCTGCACGTTCTCCCAGTTATTGCTTGCCTGCCTCCCCGGCTTTTCGAGTCCCCGCATTGCCTGGTTCGCCTGCCTCCTCCTGCCTCCTTCCCTCCTCCCCTCCCCTCCCATCATGTGCCCTCGCCTTTCTCGTCCTCCTCCTCCTCCTACTCCTCCTCCTTGTCATTAGCTTCCCCATTGGCAATGTGTCCTCTGCCTCCTCCCCTACCTCCTCCTCCCTTTCTCCTCCCTGTCTCCTCCCTCCCTCGGCGATCCGCCCGTGACGAAGGTCTGCCCTCCTCCTCCCCCTCCTCCTCCTCCTCCTCCTCCTCCTCCTCCTCCTCCTCCTCCTCCTCCTCCTCCTCCTCCTCCTCCTCCTCCTCCTCCTCCTCCTCCCCTTCCTCCTCCCTGGTGTCGGACCCCAGGGTCCTCGCTCTCCTCCTCCCGCGCCACCCCGCGGAGCCGCAACGGAGAGAGCACGGCCGGCGCCGCTCCGTGCCCGCGTGGCAGCCTCAGCCCGGGTGCGGACCCGAGTGGCCTTCGTCGTCTCCCTGCCCCTGCGGCTGCCCCCTCCCTCGCCTCTGGGCCTCGCCTCCCGCACGGGCCTCCGCATGCGCGCGCGCACACGCCCTGCACAGCAGAGGAGGGGAAGGTACCGATGCCGCTGCCCCTGCCTCGCGTTCGCCCTCTGGGGTCTCCTGGGAGGCCCTCGTCGCCACGGCTGCATTCGCCTCGGAAAATCTGCTCAGAACGCACCTCTGGGGCGTTCGTTACGGAATGTGCGCAGGAGGCTTCAGACCCTGCAGGTTTCATTATTTGATGGGGATGATTGTGAAATCCACGGCCAAGCCACAGTTGGAGTTCCACGAGCTTCCAGACCCTGGATTATTTCTCCGACTTCGCTTCCCTGATGCGCCTGTGCAGAAACGCAACACGTGCTGTGTTCAAAACGTCCGTGTCAACACGCTGCGTCTTGGCTCGGCACGCGTTGGGCCACTTTTTGGCGCCCGTATCGCGCCAGACCTGCGTTCTCAATGTGCGTGTGGAGCTCCGTGTCAACACGCTGCGGGTTGCGTGTTGCGCATCGGGGCGACTGAGTTATCCAGTGGTTCCTTGTCCAATGGACTCGCCGCGTCGGTACATCTGCTTTTCAAGCACGCGCTTCCTTGTTTGGGCTGAGCCCGCGCCCGCCGGGCCACCCCCAGGGAGGGGTGCTGCCAGGGCCCGAGGTGGACCCAGCCTCGAGAGACCCATAGCTGACCTCCAGGGGCACCTTTTTCAGGAGGCCAGGAGGGCCTCGGGGTGGAGGTGGACGAGGAGGAGGAGGCCTTGGAGCAGTGCTCCAGATTTCGCCTGGTTTTAGTTGGAACTCCCCAGGGCCGACAGGCCCTGGGGGGGGAGGCTTCGTCAGTACGACCATGCAGCCACCAGGAACCAGGAACCAGGAGGCGGTGCCCAGGAGGAAGAAGAGGAGGAGGAGGAGGAGGAGTAGGGCCCACAGTGGTGCGAAGAGCTGTGGACTCCCTGGGCTGGAGCATCTCGGGCGGCCCCCGATCCTCATTCCCTCCCCCCCTGGCCATCCGTCTTGTGATCCTCGGGGGCGGTCTGCCGTCAGCCGACTGGAGCAGGGCCGCGCTCCCTCCCCACCCGAGCCCATTGGACAAAGCAGGGCAAATTTACACACTGTTCATTTCTGATTCTTCGGAAGTTATTTGATTTTCTGGGGGGCCAAGATCCTTTCATTTCTGAGTGTTCTATGCTGGGCCTCTTCCTGGCCACTAGGGGGCCAGGAACAATTAGAAACGAGCACAAGTAGAAATGAGCACGATTAGAAATGAACGACGTGTAGGTTGCGAAGAGACTTCGAGACCTGCTTCGGCGTGAGGTGAGCAACTCAGTGGCGTCGCAGCGTCTCTCCTTCATTTCACGCGCCAGCTCGTTTCCAGAAGCTTCGGTCCCACCCTGCAACACCCTCGCGGTGAAAGGCGCCGGTCGTGTCCGTGTGTCCGAGTGTCCGTGAGCAACTCCTTGGAAGCCCCCGCACACCCTTCTACTGCTCACGCGGCTCCTCCCTCCCCAGACATCCAGCGCATCGTTTCTCCTCGATGCGTCGGTCCCTGGAGGTCTGGACCCCTTCCCTGGGATCGGCCTGTTATCTGGGATCGGGCCCGAAACTGACTTCAGAGGCACCCTGAAACCGGGCGCCTCGATCCGCCGATGTGACTTTGACAATCCCTTCCCCTGCGCTCGGCATGGCTCGGACGTGTGCATTTTTTCTTCGGCGAGGACCATCGAGGAGAATCCTCGATCATTTGGCGAAAAAAACCACGCACGAAACCGAAAAAAAACACAGGGAATCGACGTCCGAGCGATGGCGAGAAACGGGGCGTCTTCGGTCCGCCGATGGGACTTTTACAGTCCCTTCCCCCGCGGGCCAGTGTTCGTCCCCGATCCGCTCTTGGAGGCCCATGGGGGCCCGCTGGCGGGCCCCACGGGGGCCGACGTCGGGGACGGCGGGATTGAAAACAGACGTTCGTCGGAGATCTGGGATTTTCTCGGTGCGCCGGGCACGTCTGGGGCTGCACCCTCCCTCCCAGGGAAGATGACGCGGGGGCCCTGGTCGGACGACGAGAGCGTGCTGTTCGACGCGCAGTGGGCCGACCCCCAGGCGCGGGTGCGCGGGCGGCGCCTCCATGCGGGCTGGGGGGGGGGGGCGGCGCATGCCCCGGGTCGCAGTCGTTGGGGGCAACGCTAGTGGGGAACAGGCTCGGTGGGGGGATGCATCGACCCTCAGTCGCCGATTGATCGCAAACAGGGGCGTGGAACCCACCCCACCCAGGAACGCACACGTGGTTTCGCTGTGGCCTGTCGCCGATCCACCGGCATGTATCGCCGATTCCAGGTCGACGTCCGCCCCCGTTGAGCCAGTCCCCCCCTCCTGGCGCTCCCCCCCCCCTTCAGGGGAGGGAGGAGCGGTGGACGCCTACTTCGGGTCGCGGCACAGATCTCCTGAAATTCGAGGATGTTGGGTCAGAGGAGGGCGACTTGAGACAACGGCAGTTGGCATTCGGAGTGGGGGCCTCGTCGCCACGGCTGGCTGGACGCAGCTCGCGAAACTGGTGCACTTTAGACCCACAGAGGGGTCGGGGGACCGATTCTGAGCTGCTGTAGTCTCAACTCGCCCTGCTCCGATTGGGCCAGAGGTTCTTTTATGAGTTTTCGGCATCGAGGGGGGGGGAAGGGGGCGTGTTCGGGCCCGGGGGCCGTCAGGAAATTGCTTTGGACGAGAAGCTGGTCCCAGGGCAGGGTCGACAAAATCGAGTCGCTGGAGTCTGGGGAGGAGAAGTGGTGGTGAGGCTCCAAAATCAGCAGGAGGTGGAGGAACAGCAGGATTACGAAAAGGCGTAAGGGGAGGATAGCAGCGAGAGGAGTCAAAATACAAAAGGCAATTGCGGAATCATCATCTTTCGGAGGTTCGCGCGGATTTCTTGAGTCGGCGTTGGACCCCCTGGCGGCGCCTCCAGCGCAGTTCCTGACGCGCACCGCGCGCCAGAGGAGATGGGGTCCAGCGCCGACCCAAGTTTCTGAGTCCCCACCCGTACGGATTGCTGTTATCCTCTTCTGTGCGCTCTGCACGGGCTTTTGGACTCATGTCGCGCCTCGTGCATCTCGGCAGCCGCGGCGGCGAACCCCGCGAAGGCGGGGCGGCCCGGCGTTCGAGACCCTGCCGTTCGCGGGACGCGGGGCCACGTGGGCCTCAGACGACCATCCTCCCGCCTCCCCAGACGTCTTGCTTCGTCGCGTTGAAGATGCTATCGCTGCTCGGGACAGTTCAGGCCAGTCTTCAGAGCGCCGCGGAGGAACTCACAAATAGCAAGGTCGGCATCGACGACTGTTCCGAATGGTGGTTCTCACGTGAGTCCGCGGACGTGTGACATGTTTTGAGGCCGCGGCCTCCACGCCATGCCCGGATGGGCACGGGCGGGCTCTCCATAGCGTAGCGCGTGCCTTCGGCGCTTGCTTCGCTTTCTCTCGTCATGTCGTCGTGATGGGGTTACGACGGGAGGTTTTGACAATGCTCGCTCTCTGGGGGCCACTACCAGGCCCCAGGGTCATCACAAACACTACTCAGGATTAAGACCCGGCATCCGTGAAAGGTGCCGAGACCTCCTGGGACCCACGTTAGGAAGACAAGAAACAGGACGTCGGGGGTTTGAGTGTGATCCTGTTCATCGTCTTCTTCCTTCTCTTCCTCCTCGTCCCCCTCCCCCTTCCGAGCGGCACGAGCTAAGGCCACCTCGGAGGACGAACGTGCCGCAGTCGGTGCCTGCTCGCTAGGCAGCTGTGGCCTCATCACCATCGGTCCCCGGCCGCCGGACAACGGACGTTTGCTGGCAGTTTGTCTACCACCGGGGGCCCCTGACCGGGCCACAGGGCCGTCAAAGAACGGCTCGGGATGAAAGCTCGGTCCTCGGGAAGGAGCGGATCCGGACATCTCGGGAGCCACGCTGCGGAACGAAACCACTTCGGATGTTTGGCCATGGCGATCCCGCCGGCGTTACGGGGGCCCACCCGCACCGATGTCCTCTTCACATGCTGCGGTTGATCGCGCAGCTGTGCCTGAAGTCACCACAGGACCCAGCCGATTCGCCAAGCACGGTTTCACCAATTTCGGCATGGAGCATATAGTGCATCACGTGCCGTGATGCTCGTGCGTTGGGGAGACCATGGACCACGAAAGCGAAGGATGTCGAACCGAGTTGGGTCGAGTTCTCCTTATCTTCCTCGCCCTTCCTCCAGGCGAAGCCTGGCATTGGCACCTCGAAGCGGGGCAAGTGCGTCATAGCCTTCGGCCCCGACGTCACGCATCAGTTCCTGGAGGTTGCGATGCCCCGCCATCTTCCTCCCGAGGAGGAGGACCGCCATGAAGGAGACCAGGCATGAGGGAAACGGGGCTACAGGCCACGGGGCTTTCCCCAGGACCAGCTCTTCAGTCCCACGTCGTTGTTTGACGATATCCCAGGTGGCCTCGGGGCTCCAGCGAACGGTGAACGTAACTCCAGCACCCCATTCCTCCAAGACCCCTCTAATTCATGCTGGCACATTCTCTCTACGAATGCTCGGGCGGCGATGCTCGCACGCCAGGCGATCCAAGTCGCACACCACAGGTGCGCGAGAGCACGCTCAAAGACGCCTGCAAGCCAGTTGTGGGCCGTGATCGACACCGGCGGGGTGCGCTGCGTCACACGCCCGTGGGGAGGGGGGGGGACGAAGAGCGGCAGAGGCCTACGAGTAAGGGGATGAGCTTGGCATCGCTCGGACGTGTACATTTATTCCTCGGCGAGGACCATCGAGCATCTTGAGCGTCCTGCGAGCAAAATTCACAAAACCGAAGAATGCACGGGGAATGGACGTCCGAGGGATGGCAATGATGTGGGACCCTAACCAGACCAAAGGTCAGGGACTTCCCCCAGGGTAGGGCCCATTCGATCCGGCCAATCCCATCCGACATCTCTGGTTCGATTCCGATGGTCCGACCATCCGATGCGGCCCGAGGTTTGCATGGCGTTGTTTGCATCTTGACGCGGCCGACCGATGCGATTCGATGCCGACTCCGTGCCGATGCAGCCCGATCCCACGCACATTCCGATTCGATCCGATTTCTGGAGTCGATGTTGCCTCATTTTGCCAGGGGTCAGCTGGGGAATTCCCTCTCGAACAGAAGCTCTAGCCAAGCCTATTCCGCCCTCACCTCCCTGGTCTGGCTCGTGCTTCCCTTCTCCTCACGAGCAGGTGGGCTTTCTCGAATGTCATGGCGCCGTGCGGCGGGGGGCTGAGGTCTTCTTATGCAATCCCCCTCGTCTCGGAGGGGCTCGATGTAAACACCACGCCGTTTGGTCGGCCAAGGAGCCGAGGAGCTCCGCGAAGGAGTTCGGCGTATGTATGGACGCTCCAGCGTCCCACAGGCTGGGCAGCCGGGGCGCCTACCCACCGAGCTCCTTGGCCGACCAGACGACTTGGTGCTTACTGCGAGCCCCATCCCATCCCCTCCTCGTCCTCCTCGTCCTCCTCCTCCTCCTCCTCCTCCTCCTCACGCCTCCTCCTCCTCCTCCTCACGTCTCCTCGTCCTCCTCCTCCTCCTCCTCCTCCTTCTCCTCCTTCTCCTCTTCCTCCTCCTCCCCCAGGACGACGAGGACGAGGAATTGATGAGCCCCGACATTTCTTCGCCCCGTCCACACAGCCCCAAACTCGAACCTCCCCCCTTGCCAGACATCTGACGTCGTCATGCTTCACAACGTGGACCCCGTGGGAGTCTGGACCCCATCACTGGGACTGGTGTCTCATCCCGAATGTTTCGTTCGACGCTCCCGAGGTTTGGCAAGGGCCCCTAGAGGCCGAAGACAAAATTGGCAACAACCTTCAGTCGTGATTTATTTTCCGCTACGAGAAGGTCAGACCCGGTAAAGTTTCCAGGTGTGCTATCTGGGCATACCTTCGAGGGGGGATCCAACAGTGGCAACGAGAAGCCCCTCGCAGGTTCCAAAAGGATGAATATCTTGATCCTCGAGCCTCGATGTATCATTCTTCTGATCCTCGATCATCGGCCCGTTCATGACGCGAGGAGGTCTGGGCCCAGGAGGTCCGCGACACGAGAAAGCCTGGGCCGAGGGGGGTCCGCCCATAGCGGCGACGAATCCCCAAGAGGGCTAGACATGTTCAACAATTTGGATCCTCCATCGTCCAACCCACCTCCACCCGCTGCTTATCCACATGCCCGGTTCCGACAGGGTCGTGGCAATTGAGCCTTCGGTCGCCGAATGGGCTCGGTCTTGGTCCCACCGGGCGGCCGGACGGGGTCAGGCGCCGAACGGGCTCAGAAGAGAGGCCAGGGGGCAAGAGGAGGAAGGAGAGGACGAAGACCATGAGCAGGAGGAGGAAGAGAAGGGAGGAGGAAAAGCCGTAGCCATTTTGGCTCCAGTCGTCGCCGTCTGCTCAAGCCGTCTGAGGTCCCACAGGGGGGAACCGAAGTGGTCCCCACAGGTGCCGCCCAGGCAGGGGTCGCGGTCATTTTGGCACAGCGCATTGTTTTCTTTGAACTGCCCTCTGGCCGTCCGCGATGACACACGGCATGTCCTCGTCGCAAGCCGCAGCGTTTGCAGCAGAGTTTGAGGCCGCTCCGACGTTCCCTGATACCGATGATGATGAGCGTCCTCCTAAGTCTGCCTGTTGTGCGTCATCGCCCGAAGAGCTTCGAATTCCCATCGATAACACGAAACAGACGATGGATGGACAGATGAGGGCCCTGCAAGGGCAGATGGGAGCCTTCTCGTCCCAGCTCGGCACCACCTCCAACACTGTTACCTCCTCCTTCGAGGGGATTCAAGCCCAGATGGATACGCACAATGTACAGCAGCACAATGTACAGCAGCACACCTCAGAGATACGTGCGCTACAGCGAGACGTCTAGCAGATGCGACTGGCGCTTGGAGACATCCGAGATGAACGACCTTTACCCAAGCCCACGGTCCCCAGCTTCCGACGGGATATTGACACCAACATCATCGAGATCCGCACGGATAACATCATGGCGCAGCAGGCCGTCATTCAGGCGCTCGCTCCATGTTTGGAACTTTCGATCGGATCCGAGAACATCACCCTGAAAGGAGAACCTGTTGGCCGTCGGTTTACACTCCGCATTAGAAGGGCCTTTAGCCCTCTCTGCGTGCTTTGGCGCGGACACGAGAGTTGGCAACTATCTCTGACCACGTGGAACTCTCGAGCCCTCATCCACCCCCTGGTGATTTGAAGTTCCGCATCCTCCGCTTCCTTCTCCGTCCTACATGCCTCGTCAAAAAGAAGCAGAAGACTTCTGGATTCGGTGATTGTGGGGTCAGCGCTACTCCAATGCTGACGGATGCCTGTTGACTCGGACGCGGTGTTGTCCAAAAACCGACCCTACCCTTTCAGCATTGAAGGACGCGCTTTCTGACAAGTGCCCGAAAGCATCGTACTCCAGGGTTTCAATTTCCATTTCTGGATATTTTTGACGAGGCTTGAAGGACCATCCTTGCCCTTCAGAAGAGTCACAGGTCAGATATGGAAGTACAAGAGTTGTTGTACCACACGCACAAGGATTTCACAGCCACTCCTAGTTTTTGCCGCTCGTCTCAAGCTGTGGGAGTAATTGCGTTCTACCCGAGCTTCTCCAACTTTGGCGAGAAGGCGCCGGCTATCATGCCCCGGGGTTTGGTCCCTGGAAGGGTCTTCAATGTGCGCGTTAAGTTTTTGGCCGCTACAAAGTTCACAAGTTTGGGCTTCCTGTTGAAACGAAACAGGATATCGGTGAGACGATCCTCAGGGACCTCGAGCTAGTTAAGCACTCCCCCGAGACGAACTTGGTGGTGGCGGCTGGCGGCTTCAACTTTGCCGACATCCCGCCGCGTCGTGAGGAAGCAGTCGTTGCACCCCCATGGCTTCGACCTTCTGGGCCCCAGGACCGAACTGCAGGTTGCCACCCGACCCGCTATCACGAGAAGCATCGATTCCCTGGCTGGGTCATGAACCAGCTCTCTGTCGTCGGCGAGGTCGCCGACCTGCCTAAGGTGCGGCACAAGCGCGGCATCAGCGATCGCGCTCCCTATGTTGTTTCAATATCTAGCAGCTTACCCAGTAAGAACCCGAACGAGTACCAGAGCACCCCGGAAGATGTGCACGCCCACCCTAAGTCCAGAGATTTCCTGGAGAAAGTTCCGGAGCAATGTAACCTGGACGACCTTCCGCCCCCGCTGGCCATGGAGTTCGCGGAACACATGATGCGGGAAGCTGCCAGAGTTGCCAGGAATAATATGCTACGTGGCTCGCCTGGTTGTTCTCCAGGTTCATCTGGGTTAAAGGTATCGCTCGAGCTGTTTCGGGACAGGACGTGGCATTGGCAGTGAAATCCAGGTCGAGTTGTGAATTGGGCGGGCCCTCCTCTGCGTCGACGTGGTGCGCAGGGCGGGCGGGCTCAGCGACCCAAGTGCGCTTGCTGCCGCATCTCAACATATCAATGGGCCCATGGCTCAACGAAGCGAAGCTCGGACGAAAAGCGAGATATCTACGACGACCAGCGAGACGACGCGAAACTAGTTGCGGCGACGATTTCGGGGGCACATGGTCCGGAGCAAACTCTGGGCGCCCATGGGCGAAGCATGACGCTGCAAGGTGTCAGAGCTGCAGGCGGGGATACTGCGCATCGCCAGCCAGGCGAAGTGCCGCGGCAGCACGGGCTGCGCCAGGGCGCGGTCTTCGGGGCCCAGAAAAAGATCAGCGGTGGGAGGGTTGCCAGATATCTGACCAAATACGGGCCCCAGGCGTGCCTCGGGGACCTCCCGCCGCCCGCCCTGCAGGACATCCAGAGATACCTCAGACAGGCTCACAATCCTGATGGGCTTATCTGCGCTCCTTGGGCTCTCAGCCCGTTCGGATCCATGGTGCTTGATGGGGCCCCCTGCTGGAGATTTCAAGGGAACTCAGCATTGCCTTTGTTCAGTTATCCCCGAGGGGCCGTCTTGGCGAAAAGGGGGGGGGGGGCATGGCAGGGGGGCCATGTGAGGAGCAGGAGATGCTCGGCCCCTCGGGCTTAAACAGACGCTCAACAATGCGCCGACAGGAGTTGTCATTTCCAATAGGAGTCGTCTGCTTCATGAATTCATCAACTCTGAGCAGAGAGGATGCGTTCGAGGGCTTAATTTCGGAATCAATACCCTTGACTTGGACGCGCGAGCTCGCGTGGCCAGCGCGCAGCCGTCCGCGGCCCTATCTCATCCAACATTTCGCGCGTTCGATTGCGGCCAAGCTTTCCCGTCGGCGGCGCGTGATTGGATAGCTAAGAACCTTGAGTGTGTCCAGCTGCCGCCGCCGATGTCAATATCCCTGAGATGCGCATGCTGTGGCGCGTTGTGCTTTGGCCGCTTCCAGCAGCCATCCCTTCTTCTCTTCCTGGTCTGGTCTGGCATCCTGCAAGGCCGCCCGGTATCTGGAGCGACGCGCGCGATGCGCAGTCGCCCTTTTCAGAGAATTTCGCAAAGCATCGGCCACTCCCCCCCTGGACGACCCATCGCTGCAGTCGATGCCTGCGCAGATGGCGCGGGGGCCGTCATCGCTGCCTTTCGACGACAACTGCTCTTGTGACGCATGTTCGACAACAGTCGAGAACTCGCCGATGCACGTCTGGGGTCTAGCACGCGCTTTATTGCGCCGCTGTCTGGCAGATGCAGCGAACGCGTTATCCGTGCGCGCAGGCCCGGGCCAGTTCCAAATATCCCCGAATGGGCCGGCTTTCAAATCGCGGAGCAAGTCGCCTGCATGGGGTTGATCCCGGGACCTGGGGCCTCCGCGAAGGCCAGGCGCCTGCCCGCCCAGAAATGGGCCTCCCGGGCGCCCCACATTGCCGAAGATTGCAGCCCCACTGCTGTCGCCGAACACATGTATAATAAGCGCGCCGCCCCCAATTTGCCTCATGATGCCCAGTTCGCTGCTCTCCCTGCGCCTGGCCCTGGCGTCTCTTCCATCTGCCGACTTGAGCATGCCGCCCTTGCTCCCCTTGGTTCCCTCCCCAGCTGCGTGCTCTCGCAGACCTCCCTCTTGGAGCTCGAACGATGGGGCGGGCCTGGGTTCGAGGGCGTCGAAGCACCATGTGCTGCGACACTCATCCTCTCCGCTCTTCGCACGTTGCCCGAATGGCAACCTCTCGTAGCAATGCGATCCGCCGAAGTTGAGCCATATCTATCTCTGCATGGGCTGGGAGGGCCTGCAACGTGCATGCCCTGCCTTTGGGAGAGCCCCTGCTTCCAGTTAAATGAAGCCTCGAAGGGGTTCCCAAACAGCAAGAAGCATAAGGCGGCGGGAGCTGCCGAGGCTGCGACGGCGAAGCGTGCTCTCCGTGACCAACAGCAACAGCAGCGCAGGCGCCCCAAAGTCCAGAGCGCCGCCCCGGCCGAGTTGCCCCGCGCTTTGTTTCCCGACTCTCTTGCACAAGACGGGGGAGGCATATTGCTCGGGCATTCCCCTGAACACCGCAGCGATCACATATGTGGGCTGGAATGCGGTCAAAGATGAGACTTCTAAAAGCTCCCCCCCCCAGCCATAAGACATGCTGCGTGGAGAACGATTAGCGGTGCTTGGATCACAACTTTCAGGATGCACGAACATGAACTTCGCCCGCGTGGCCGTGGGTGCCAAGGAGCTCCCGACGCCTCCCTCCATGACTGGAGGTGCCCTCCTCTGTGGGCACTAATCAGAGACATGCTCCACTTTGCTGCCATTCCTGATTGTCCCATCCGTCGGCTTGGCCTCCTGCCCCCCTCGGACTCTTCGCTCATATTGCCTGTGTGTGCCTAGATGTTGTTCACCCGTCTTGCCTCTCTTCCTGCTCCCATCTCTGAAGAGAATGCGGCCAGCGCGATCCCTGCCATCAGAGAGCAGCGCCGGCACGGCGGCCCGTGGCGCGGCGCGGCGGGCGCGGCGGATGAAGAGACTCGAGGCGCCAGCGACGTGCCGAGGAGGGGGGAGGAGGAGGAGGAGGAGGAGGAGGAGGAGGAGGAGGACCAGAGTAAACCAAAGATGCATCAGCGATAGTAATAATGCACAGAGCTGCAACACACACGCACCCGTCCCAGGCCCCCCTTTTCTCATGCACCCCATACAGGTTTTCCACTCCACTACAATCAGCGCCCTCTTGAAAGGCCAGCGCAGCTGGGCCTGTCATTGTGGCGAGGGTCCCGCTTTGAAAAGGATTGGCCTTACACATTGCTGGCGCAAATTTAGGAACGTGGGACACGCTGGTCACGCGTCTTGACGCGGCGTCTTTTTCGAGCGAGGACCCCCCCACACCCGTGTAGTTGTTGCACAAGTTTGTTATTGTGGCCCTTTTTATTTTTATGTACAAATGCCCTCTGCCCGCGAAACGATGCATTCGTTGAGCTTCTGCGTCTTTTACACTGACGATCTCACGCGAGAAGCCCATGTTTAGTTGACAGAGTTCCACGCGAGACATCCATCCTGGAAAGAGCAGTGTTCCACCCTGCGAAGCTTCGTACAACAGATCAAATGCGCACCTCGCCGAAGCGAAAATCAACTTCTTGAAAACGGCGAGTGCTCAATCCTTGAGATCCGCTTTTGTTCCCAAAAAAAGAAGGTCGAGTGCCCACAGCCTCAAGACAAGAGCTCCATTTGAAGCTGACCCGCCTTCCATCCCTGAAGCCCTTGCAGAATATTAGCACGAATGCTCGTTCCCCTAGAGCGAGAGTTCCAAGTTGAAAACGCCGCCCTTCCATCCGTAACATTGATGCAAACTCTCAGAAGGCATGTGCGCGGCGCGAAGGCGAACACCCATTTTGAACACTCTCCCTCTCTATCCCTGATTTTGCTGCAGAGTTTTACGACGAAGATGCGCGTCTTTGAGGCGAGAGCCACATGTTAAAAACTGGCCCCCTTTCCATCCATGAAGGTGGTGCAATTTTGCAAGACGAACATGTGTTGCGCGAGTTCCAGGGCCACTTTTTATAACTGACCCACTTACATCCTTGAAACGAATGCAGTCTTGCAGACTGAAAATGTGCGCCGTGCTCAGGCGAGAGTACCATTTTCAAAAGGAGCTGCCATCCATCCTTGAAGCTGTTGCAAGCTTTTAGCACGAATTTGCACGACGCTTAGGCACGAGCCACATTTTGAAACATTGCCCCGTGCTGAAGTTGTTTACAACGATTGCGTGCATTCTGAAAGCGGCCCCTGTGAAATTGCTGCACAGTTCAAGGCTCAGGAACATACGTGGTGTGGAAGGCTCAAGCGAAACACGTGGCCCGCCCTATCAGCCCGGCTCGGGGTGCGACAGGGAGGATTCGTTCCCAAAACAGTGCATGGATTTATGGGCTCTACCTTGTCTTCTATGTAGCTGGGCCTGCTTGTCGGCCTGGCTGCCCGTCGCCGCCGTCCTTGGTCACGATTTCGATTGTGCGAGGCTCGCACTTTGCATTGCTTTGCATTGCTCTGTCTTGCTGCGTATTGCTTTATATTGTTTTGGATTGCTTTGCCTTGCATTTCGGCGCAGTGCTTTGCATTGTTTCGCATTGCGTTGCATTGTTTTGTAATCGTATTGCAATGCATTGCGTTGCGTTGCATGGCGTTGCTTTGCTTTGCTTTGCACTGCTCCGCATCGCTTTACCTTATTTTGTACAACATAGATTGAACCACGTGGATTGCACCATCTATATTGCACCACATTGATTGCACCCCCTTGGTTGCACCGCGCACATTGTAGGAACTCACTGGTTGGGGTCCGCGCTGGCTACGTAACATTTGTTGCAATGCAATCAGATTGAGGAGAAGAAGGAGGAGGAAAAGGAACAGGAGGAGCAGGATGAGGAGGAGGAGAGGGATGATGAGGAGGCGGGAGCAGCAGCAGGAAAACGAGGAGGAGGAGGAGGAGCAGCAGTAAGAGGTGGGAGGAGGCTGGCGCTGCGCCTCCCTGCGTGCCCCGCTCTCGCCGGCCTGGCCTCGAGGCCAACGGCCTCTCCCTCGTCATCCGCTCGCACGAGGCCCCCGCTCGCCGTCCCGCGCGCGACCGCGGGAGCGGGTGGCGGCCGTGGATGCGGCACAACGAGCGACGACCTCGGGCCCCTCCTCCGCCTCCCCCCTGCGCCACCTCCTCCTCCTCCTTCTCCTCCTCCTCAACCTCCTCCTCCTCCTCCTCCTCCTCCTCCTCCTCCCTCCTCCCTCCTCTCCTCTCTCCTCCTCCTCCTCCTCCTCCTCCTCCTCCTCCTCCTCCTCCTCCTCCTCCTCTCCCGTCTCCTCCGTTCCCTCCTCCTCCTCCTCCTCCTCCTCCTCCTCCTCTCCCGTCTCCTCCGTTCCCTCCTCCTCCTCCGTTCCCTCCTCCTCCTCCTCTCCCGTCTCCTCCGTTCCCTCCTCCTCCTCCTCCTCCTCTTCCGTCGCTTCCGTTCCCTCCTCCTCCTCCTCCTCCTCCTCCCTCCTCGTGCGCCGCGGCCCCGGCACGATGATTTGGCAGCGCTGAGGGGGTCACCACTTGAGAGGGGTCACCAGGATCTCGGGCCCTCCATCCAGGATGGAGGATCGAGCATCGAGGATGGATTGGGGATCGAGTTAAGTCGGGCGTGTCCCTCTACAGGAGGACTAGTCAAAAATAGTCAAAAAATAGTCTGGGGACTATTGTTTATATATGTGCTGACCATTTGAGGGTATGTTTTGAGTATTTTACATGTTTCGCTCAAAATCCTCCTGTAGGGGGACATGCCCGACCTAAGGATAGAGAATCGAGTTGATTGGAAGTTTTAACCAGATGGTGGGCCTCGTCGTCGCGACGCGACGGCTGCATCCCCCTCGACCCAGACTCTGGGGAGCCGCATTGCGAAAACATCCATATGTCGGAGGTCTGGGGTGGAGCAAAGGAATGGGATGATGACAAGGTTTGATCGGGGAAGGGCAGGTTCGAGGGAGGGGTGGGGGAGAGGAGGGAGTGTGGAACGGGAAGACGCCCCCCCCACACACACACACACACACACACACCCACACACACACACACACACGCACACACACACACACACACGCACACACACATACACACAACAACAAACACAAACACACACACTCACATGCGCACGCACGCACGCACGCACGCACGCACACACGCACACACACACAGCGATCAGCGACGACCTCCCATATCAAGCCCATGATGTTCTCCCCTCCCTCCCCTTCCGTCCTTCGTCCCGCACGCTTCCTCATTCCCTCTTCCTCCCCCACATCATTTTACCTCCTCTCTCTTCCCTCATCTTGCTCCCACTCTCTCGATGTTGACGAGCAGCCGGGTGCCTTCGCCTCAGTTGCGGAGCCAACATGGAGCTCTGATCAAAATTGGCCACGACCCTGGGGCCAGAGATGCCCCGACGCGAAGCGGAAAGCACGCCACGTGACGTCCAGAGACTTCCTCCTCCTCCTCCTCCTCCTCACCATCATCATCAGCATCATTATTATCATCATCAGCAGCATCAGCATCCGCATCATCATCAGCATCATCATCATCCTCGTCACCACCATCATCATCATCATCATCATCATCATCAGCAGCAGCAGCAGCAGCATCATCATCATCATCAGCATCATCATCATCATCATCATCATCCCGCCCCATCCTCTTCCTCCTCACCCTCTCCCTCCTCACACTCCCTTCCAACTCTCCCTCCTCACTCTCTGTCCTCCTCCTCCTCCTCCTCCTCCTCCTTCTCCCTCCTCCCTCCTCTTTTGCCTGCTCTTCCTTCCTCGCTGCTGAAAACCAGCAGGGTGCCCGTGTCTTTGCTGCCGAGCCAGCACGGAGCGCTGGTGCAACCTGGCCACGACCCTATAGGGTCAGAGGGGCCTGGGCTGGGCGCGTGACGTCCAGAGAGTTCATCCTAGTATTAAGTCGGGCATGTCCTTCTGCAGGAGGAATATTCAACAATAGCCAAACCATAGTTCGGGGACGATGTGTTTCCTAGATTTGCCCATTTGGGGGGCATGTTGTGCGTACATGTTGAATTTTTCGCCCGATATCCCCCTGTAGGGGGACAGGCCCGACCTAACCCTAGTATACTCATTTACCCCTTCTCCAGGCCGAGGACAAGGACAAGGACGTTGAGGAGCAGGAGGCGGAGGACGTCAGGGAGCAGGAGGGAGGAGGAGGAGGAGGAGGAGGAGGAGGAGGAGGAGGAGGAGGAGGAGGAGGAGGAGGAGGGGAACGGGAGGAGGAGGAGGAGGAGGAGAGGGGAACGGGAGGAGGAGGAGGAGGAGGGGAACGGGAGGAGGAGGAGGAGGAGGAGGAGGAGGAGGAGGAGGAGGAGGAGGAGGAGGAGAGTTCGTCCTGGTATATTCTTATTTGCCCCCTTTCTCCGGGCCGAAGGTAGGCCAGGGGCTCGTCAAGGGGGTGCCCGCGCGCGCTCCTCCAGCGTTCTACGCCAGCCCCCCAGGGAAGGGCTGTTGAACGCAGCAGGCGAAACCCGATTCTCCTCCTCCTCCTCCTCCCTTCTCCTCCTCTTCCTCCTCCTCCTCTTCTCCTCCTCCTCCTCCTCCTCTTCCTCCTCCTCCTCCTCCTCCGCCTCCTCCTCCTCTTCCTCCTCCTCCTCCGCCTCTTCCTCCTCCTCCCCAGGCATCTGACGTACATTAGTGGCTTTGTGGCGTGGCTGCCCAGAGGCTTGGACCCCTTCCCAGGAACCTGCTTGTCATCTTGGAGTCGTTCTTTGAATGTCCTGGGGCCCATTGAGGGCCCCCCGAGGCCGAAAAATAGCAAAACGTCCCGTCGCTAATGTCTATGTATGTGAAGACGGTCCCGGGGCCAGGAAGCCGCCTCCAGAGGCCGAACATCATAGAAACGCAATGCCGTCACGATGCTTGTTTGCCGATGCTTGCATCCGAAATGCTCGCCAGCCTGAACGCGAAAGGGTGAGTTGTTCCAGTCTGTGTGGCGCGGTCTGTGTGCGGTCTATGTTGTACCCTGAGGCGCGAGCCAGTGCACGAGGCGGACGGGCGACCGAAAAACCCGGAACCGCCGGCCAACGCACGGAGACCCCACGGGCGCCTACCAGGCGAAGATCCGGAACCGCCGCCTGGCCGAGACAAGTGTGAGGTAGACCCGATTTCTTCGATCCCTCTTCCTAGCGCATGGGTACGGGGGACAGGAGTCGAGGGAAGAAACACAATGACCGTGACCAGGATGTCTTGGAGTCGTGTCGACGGCGGTCTTGTTCGTGGTCCATAGCAGCTGTCGCCGACTTGCGAGGAGTATCCACGAACTGACGGTGACCAAGATTGACAGTTTCCGCTTTCTGCTTTGGTCACGGTCACACAGTCTTCTTTCCCTCCAGGGAGGAGACGGCAGGAGTTAGCTTCGCGTCGCTGGACGTATTCTCCGTCTGGACCATCCCCGGGCCACGGGACCCTCGACAAGCTACCCAGGATGCAGAACTTCTCTCGAGGAAGACCACGGGTGCCCACGGTCCGGGACCCGTTTCCACCAGGATCCGCTTTTTTTCATGCTGCCCATCTTGTATTTTCCGCGTGGCGTTATTATCCAGAGCCCTCCTCCTCCATCTCGCCTTCCTCCTGCAGGTTTCGAAACTCAGTCGAGAAAAGAAAGAATTCCTTGCGGGTTCTCTGCCCTGTTGGACCCACAGCCTCGGCGACAGCCGACGGGGACAGGGCTGAAGAGCTTGAGGCAAGGGTGGCATCGACCCGACCCGACACGGCACTGTGTCCGCAGAAATGTTTGACAGCGAGTTTCGCATCACGGTGCAATACGGGGCATCCACAGCACATCGACACGTGCCGCTATTATTCTTGCAGGGTATTTGAATCCGATCGAGAAACCTGAAAGTGGCAGCAATGGAGAGCAAGCAGCAGCGGATCTTTCAAAGGGGGCGCCAGCCCTTGGCATTCCCCCGTGTTGGTCCGTACTGCTCCCCTCGAGCGCCCCAGGTCCCCAGGTCGCGGCGTGGCTTCGAGCTCACCCACAACGACAAGCTGATGACCGTCTTCAGCGCCTCCAACTACGGGGGGCTGTCGAGGGCTTAGACAGTGCCGGGCCCATAACATCGTGACGTGAGCTCCTACCTTCAACATCGCGACGTGAGGAGGAGGAGGAGGAGGAGGCGGAGGTAGGCGAATAAGAGAGGAGGGGAGGAGGCGAAGGAGGAGGAGGAGGAGGAGGTGGTGATTGTGGGGGCGGGGCGGGGATGCGAATCGAGCAGCCCTGAGCTACGAAGATTCATATAGCACCCACAGTCGTGGACAAGAGTGAGGGGGCGGGCGTGGGGGGTCGCGAATGGGTCGCGGGCCGAGTTACGGGCGGGACGACGATAACAACAATAATCATTTGATCTGATTCGCTCCTGTCTGCTCACATGCCATTCAACACATCGATCCCAAACACTATGTACCCACCCTCTTCGTCTTCGAGCGTACCTCCTTGAGGTTATATCTTCCTCACCTGCCAAGTGTATTTCCCCAATCAGAGCTTGCCTCTGTAGGGGTCCTAGCGGATTCATATCCCCAATCAGAGCTTGCTTCTGTAGGGGTCCTAGCGGATACAAAGCTGAAGTGAGGTCGGCGGCCGATTTCGGTGGCCGGGGCCGGGTGCCCGGGTGCCCGGGGGTGCCCGGGTGGCCGATTTCGGTGGCCGGGCCCGGTTGCCCGGGTGCCCGGGTGCCCGGGGGTGCCCGGGTGCCCGGGGGTGCCCGGGTGCCCGGGGGTGCCCAATAGCCTAATAGTCCAGTAGCCCTATAGCCCTAGAGCCCTATAGCCCTATAGCCCTGTAGCCCTATAGCCTTATATCCCTATAGCCCCAATAGCCTTATATCCCTATAGCCCCATAGCCCATATAGCTCTATAGCCCCATAGCCCTATAGCCCTATGGCCCTATAGGTCACAGTCCTATAGCCCGATAATAGCCCTATAGCCCGATAGCCGTATAGCCCTATAGCCCAATAGCCCTATAGCCCTATAGCCTTATAGCCCTAACAAAAATCTGATTGGGGGCTTTTCTCCGATATCATATCTTCCTCACCTGCCACGTATTTCCCCAATCAGAGCTTGCCTCTGTAGGGGTCCTAGCGGATTCATATGGTTAGGTTAGGCTTGTCACCGATTTTCGCTGCACGCCCGGGTGCCCGGGGTTGCCCCGGGCCCGGGTGCCCGGGGGGGGCCCAGGGGGGCCCGGGGGGTGCCCGGGGGGGCCCTGGTGCCCGGGCGTGCCCGGGGGTGCCCGGGGGTGCCCTATAGCCCTATAGCCCTAAGTCCGATAGCCCATGTATATATATATATATATATATATATATATACATATATATAGCCTTATATCCCAATAGCCATATAGCCCTACAACTCTATGGCCCTATAGCTCTATAGGCCTATAGCTCAATAGCCCTATAGCCCTATAGCCCCATAGCCCTGATTGGGTTTTTTCCTCCGGTATCATTTAATTAGCGCAGCCTCTAAAACAGGGGAAGAGAGAATGGATGGAAAGGGGAAGGAGAAGGATGTAGCACGAGAGAGGTTGATGCACCCTGGATTTGCTCTGGTCCTCCTCCTCCTCCTCCCCCTCTCCCTCCCCCGTAGAACCCAGAGGTCTGCTCAAAATCTGTCCCCAGACCCCTCCTGCAATCCATTCTAACAAATTGTCCATCCCGTATTGATGTTCGACTGTCCCAGGGCGCGCAAACAGCGTCCAGGCCGCAAATGGCGAAAAGCTTTGCAACTCTATCCTATCCTCCCCCTGATCCTCCTCTTGCCCCTCCAGCTCCCCGCGCGCGCGGGAGCGACCACGCGCGAAGTGAGGGGGGAGGAGAAGGAAGAAGAGGAGGAGGAGGAGGCGTGAGGAGGAGTAAGGAGGAGGAGGGGTAGGACCAGCAGCAGGCGAATGAGGAGGAGGAGGAGGAGGATAAGACGGAGCGGCAGGACGAGCAAGAGGATCAGGGGGTGGTCGCAGGAGCAAGCGGAAGAGGAGAAGGAGGAGGAGGGGGAGGGGGAATAGGCAGGAAAGACAGCGTGCGGAGCCCACCCATCGCCGAGGAGGGCGAGGAGGAGTAGGAATGAGAGGGCGACGACGACGAGGACGCCGCCGCCGACGCCGCCGCCGCCGCCGACGACGACGACGACGACGGTGGCCTCCTCTGTGCGCCGAGGATGGGCAACCACGGGGCGGTCGCCGTGATTCGGAGCGGCCCGCCGCCGCCGCACGCGCCCAGGGGCCCGGTCGCTGTGGAGCTGCCCAGAGGCCCCGCGCGGGGCGCGGGCGAAGGGTCCCCCCGTGTGCACCGGGAGAGGAGAGAGCGGGAGTCTCGAGGGCGCCCAGGCGGTGTGGTGACCACACCGCGTGGTGAGCGCGGGTAGTTGTCGGAAGTTCGTGGGAGTTCTCGGGGGTCGTTCGGAAGTTTCCGGAAGCACGGGTGGCTTCCATCCGCTGCGCCTTGCGGAGGCTGTTCCGAGGGTGCCAGAATCTTGCCGAACGGCCGCCAGAGAGCCGAGTCATGGCCCGAAAACAGTTGTGATGACCTCACCGCGTGGTGAGTCATTGGGAATTCTGGGTCACCGCACGGCTTCGGGGCTCGGTTCGTTCTCCGAGGATGTTTTTGGCAGGGTCCCAAAAGCATGCGGTGACTGACCCTGCAAAGAGGTCTCTTGGGATTTGAGGTCACCGAAGGGTCTGTCACCGCACCGTTTCGGGACCTGCTTGAGCCTTGAGGGCGCTTTACTCTAGACTCGTGCATGTTGCACATACACCTGCATTACATGTTGGTCCTCCCCCCCTCGCCCCTCCGCCGCCTGTTCAAGCAGCGCTGGGCCGCCAAGGCGTGCAGGTGTCTCGCGATTTGCTTCAGGTCCATATTTCCTGTCGGGCCTCGCCACGCCGCCCCCGCCCCTCCCCCTTCGCGCAAGTGGACTTGCCGTAGTCAGCAGAGAAGCGGCTCCTTCGACGGCGGAGTCAACGAGAAGTGGCCCTTCGCCGGAGTGACCTCTGGTGCGCAGCTTTCGGGGGGGCGCGGGGGGCCCAACCCAAGCGCGCGGGAAGCAGCTGCCGCACCGCACGCAGCGATCGGCAGGCCGCTCACCGAAGGCCGCTCTTGCCCTGGGAGGGAGGCCAGGCCGAGGCTCGAGGGCAGCTGTCCGCGCGGGCTGCTCTGCAGCAGCCGCGCCTCGTCGGGAGCGCTCCGGGGGCATGCCCGTCCCGAACGGCTGCTACTGTCAGGAAGGGGAAAAGCACAGGCACAATGAATCCTCGCTTCCCAGGACAATGGGAGAAAATAATTATGGGAAGTGGGGGGGGGGACGAAGACCCAGAAGATATGGGGAAATATGGGGAATCCTGGGATTTGTTCGTTTTATTAAGCGTGTGTGTGTGTGTGTGTGTGTGTGTGTGTGTGTGTGTGTCCTGGGGCTCCGTCAGCTATGGAGACCCGAGAGCTGTGGCCCGAAGGCCAGGCCTCCGCGCGTCGCAAGACGGAGCAGGACGCCAGGCTTCTGCAGCCACGCTCGGCAGCCGGAAATCAGCGCTCGGGGCGGGGAGCGAGGTCCCCTGTGACTAATGGGAGAGGAAATAATTATGGGAAGTGGGGGGGGGGACGAAGACCCAGAAGATATGGGGAAATATGGGGAATCCTGGGATTTGTTCGTTTTATTAAGCGTGTGTGTGTGTGTGTGTGTGTGTGTGTGTGTGTGTGTGTCCTGGGGCTCCGTCAGCTATGGAGACCCGAGAGCTGTGGCCCGAAGGCCAGGCCTCCGCGCGTCGCAAGACGGAGCAGGACGCCAGGCTTCTGCAGCCACGCTCGGCAGCCGGAAATCAGCGCTCGGGGCGGGGAGCGAGGTCCCCTGTGAAGGGCTAATTAGGAGGACGAGGAGGAGGAGGAGGAGGAGGCAGTGATGATGATGATGATGATGATGATGATGATGATGCTGATGCTGATGCTGATGCTGATGCTGATGCTGATGCTGATGCTGATGCTGCTGATGATGATGATGATGGTGATGAGGATGAGGATGAGGATGAGGATGAGGATGATGAGGATGATGATGATGAGGATGATGAGGATGATGAGGATGAGGATGATGATGAACATGATGGGGATGATGATGAGGATGATGATGATGTTGATGATGAGGATGATGAGGATGAGGATGATGAGGATGAGGATGATGATGATAATGATGAGGATGAGGATGATGATGAGGATGATGATGATGCTGATTGATGATGATGATGATGATGATGATGATGATGGATGATGATGATGATGATGATGAGGATGATGATGATGATGATGAGGATGATGATGATGAGATGATGATGATGAGGATGATGAGGATGATGAGGATGATGAGATGATGATGATGATGATGATGATGATGATGATGAGATGATGATGATGATGATGAGGATGAGATGATGAGATGATGATGATGATGACAATGATGATGAGGATGATGATGATGATGATGATGATGAGATGATGATGATGATGATGATGAGGATGATGATGATGATGATGATGATGAGATGATGATGATGATGAGGATGAGGATGATGAGGATGAGGATGAGGATGAGGATGAGGATGAGGATGAGGATGAGGATGATGATGAGGAGGAAGAGGAGGAGGAGGAGGAGGAAAAGGAGGAGGAGGAGGAGGAAAAGGAGGAGCAGGAGGAGGAGGAGAAGGAAAAGGAGGAGGAGGAGGAAGAAAAGGAGGAGGAGGAGGAGGAGGAGGAGGAGGAGGCTCCAGGCTTCTTTGCGCAGACGCGCCCAAGGCGGTGCCTGGCCGCCCTGCAGGCCATCGGGGCCGCAGGCTCCGAGTGCCGGAGGCCACCTCCAGGTGCCGGGGAGGGCCGCGGTCGCTCGAGGCCGGCTGGAGCGGCCGGAGGCGGTGTCGGACCTCCACTCGCCGGGCCTGCGCCCGGAGGCGGGCCCCGGCTGCGAGGAGGAGCCGGCGCCACCCCAGGCTCACCAGCCTCGAACTTCTCCCTATCCCTAAGATCGGCACGCCAAAAGGAGATGGCGATCTCAGGGATGCACCCTCAGAAAAACTGGGGAAATCCCTAGGATCGCCATCGTGATGAGGCGATGCCCAACATAGGGATAGGGGTATGTTCCAGGCTGGTCACAGGCCAGAGCACCGGAGTTTTCGGAGGTCGATAGATCCCCTACCCTGATACATCTCGTTTAAGGGATTGGCCGTGTTCGGTTCGCGAGGGGTCGTTGCGGCCGTCATATGTGCGGGTCCAGGCCCGTCGGTCTCGGTTTGCTCAGGGGAGGTTTGTCCACCGCCGAATTTGGGGAGTTTTGCCCGTCGCGATCGGCAGTGACCGATCGGGCACTCCGAGTCGCGTTCGCGGCCGAACGCGACCGATTCCAAAAAATCGGTCGCGACCGATCCTGGCATTGGAAGCAAAATCGGGAGCGACCGATCTCGTAATCGAGGGAGGTCTTTCGTTTTGAAGCCCCCCCCACACTGTTTCTCTCGGCGGAGAAAAAACTCGCCCCTCCTCCTCCTGCTCCTGCTCTTGCTCCTGCTCCTCCTCGTCCTCTTCCTCTTCCTCCTCCTCCTCCTCCTCCTCCTCCTCCGTCTCCTCCTGCTCCTCTTCCTCAACCTCTCCCCCTCTTCCCCCTGCTCCTCCTTCTCCTCTGGCTCCTCCTCCTTCTCCTTCTCCTCGTCCTCCTGCTCCTCCTCGTGGTCGTTATCGTAGTCGTTGCGGTGGATATGATGTTCGCTCTATTGTTGGGCGGGTTGGAAATTGTTTCGGGTATATTTTCCCAGGGAGCAGTCCACTGTGGAGCATCTTCTCGCAAGGATTGCAATGATAATCAGTGTCTGTCGTTGAAGTCGTGATTGAAGTCGTGGTTGCAATCGTGTTCTAAGCATGATCATGATTATAGTCGCGATTGTAGTCGTAATCGTAGTCGTGGTTGTAGTCGTAATCGTAGATGTAATCTTAGTCGTCGTCGTCGCGGCGGAAATTATGTTCCCTCAATTGTTGGGCGGGCTGAGTAATGTTGGGTTCTTTCTCCCAGGGGATACCGTTCTTGGCTACCCTACACGCGAGAGGATGTGTGAGCATCTTCTCATGAGGATTGCAATCGGCATCAGTGGTTGTGGTCGTAGTCGTGAATGTAGTCGTGGTTGTAATCGTGATTGTAGTCGCGATGTTGGCTTTCACTTGCGCCGGGTACATGCTGGGGCTCCAGAAAAGGGGAACATCGCTGTCGCAGGCGGATCCGACACCCAGCCGCAGAGTCGCGCGGATGATTCGCTGTAGGCCTGACGCCAGGCAGGCCAGCAAAGCCACGATGGCATCGGATCTGGGGTCCAGCGGCGAGCCCAAGTGGCTCAGGCGAAGGTGGCGGCCTTCTTAGAGCACAGGTGGTTTCTCACAAGGGTCTGTCCGTAGCAAGCGGGGACTCTTTCTCAGAAGGCCACCCCCGTCGCCCGAATCCCTTGTGCATGCGCCAAGGAAGGACAAGGGAGGGAGGGTGGAATGTGATCGCTTCTCCAAATAGTGCAGACGACAGCGGTAATTAATCGTCACCGCGCAGCAGCGGTCGAGGCTCACAGCCCACTGTCAGGCGAACGTCCCTTGTCGGCCGTCGCGAACCGAGAGGCGATCGATTCTGGGACGAAACGAGCAGAATGATGCGGCGAAGCTCAGTCGTTCTTACGCTCGCCATGAGCTGTGCTGATATGCGGTGGTGCACCGACTGGAAGGAGCCAGTGTCAGAAATGTCCACCCCCACCCGCGAAACCCAAGCCCGAAAGTCCGAGGCGGGAATTTCTACATGACCACCGCCTGGAGGGTCAGTTATCGGAGCCTCGGCAGGCGGTGGATATGAACATATTCGGGCCCCCGGGGGCCGAAATGTAACTATCCATATCCACCGCCCTCTGGGGCGACGTCGGTTCCCAGGCGGTGGATATGGATGAATCCCCGACTCGTAGAAAGTTGGTTGCCGGAACCGAGCGCGGGGTTGAGACTGGTCGGGTGCTGACGTTCGAGCGTGTGCGCCCTTGTGCAAACCCACCCCCAGCCTCGCCATCTCCGCTGATCGCAGGGGCCGAGGGGGTCGCGAACGAAGGTGGGGTTCTCATCTTTGATCATCAAGGCGACTGCGTTCCAGAGTCAAGATTGGCATGCGCAACCTTTTGGCCTCGGAAGGGGTTCCGGTCGGTTTTAGGAGACCAGTTTTCTCTCCACCCAGGCGCTTTGGGGACCAAATCGGGCTTCTTCTTTGTCCGCCCTCCCTTCTGGTAGTAACTTGACTGCACTTCTCACTTAAGGACTCGTTCTTCAATGACGGAAGCTTCCGCTCATCTTGGTCTGAATGTATACCGGCGAACAGCGCCCAATAGCGCTCAACAGCGCCAAAACAGCGCCCGATAGCGCCCAGTAGCGCTCAAATGGCTCTCGGATAGCGCCCAATAGCGACCAACAGCGCCAGAGAGCGCCATGTGAGGGAGATGCGCAGTGTCCGCTTTGCTCGCGATTGGGCGCGCTATTGAGTTGTTCTCTAAGGCCCGTCGTGTGGAAGAAAGCTGGCGGGTCGTCCACACGGAATGGGCGCCCCACCTTTCCGCGGAGGTTTGAGCGTCCAGTGCGTGGAGCACAGCCCCGACCAGCTCAAGGACGAGGCCGCCGCTCGTCCCGGTGGTTGAGCATTCTCCGCCTCTCCTCCTCCCAGAGGCCCTGACATTCTTGCGTCGAGAATTTTCATGGCGGCGGGTTTTTGTGCCTGCTCCGCTTCTGGTCGCCTCTACAGGGCCCCGGGACTGTCAAGAAAAGCGACTCGGGGTGAAGGGCCGTCCCCAGGAACGGGTCACGACCTCTTGCGAGCCGCTCTGTGCACACAATGATCTCCACGTCGAACGTGTTGGCAGGCCCAGGCAGAGGATAAGTCGCACGGCCGCGGCGCCCGAGTACACCCTCCAGGCCCGTTGACTCTCAGGGGCTCCCCCTCTTGTCTCCGCCCGAGCTCGACCTCATGATGCCTCCGTCTTGTCTTTCTCCTGCTTCTGGCCACCCCCGTTGTCATAGGTCGGGCCGGGCGAAAGGGGGGGATTGGGAAAGGGGGGGTTACGAAATTTGCTGCATGCAGCTGGTTTCGGCCTCACCGAGGGGCCCATTCCTCGATACATAGCCGCTTCCGGCGCCGGGAGGCGCCGGGAAAATCAGCTACTTGAGCTGATTCTCAACCCCCCCCTTTGCTATCCCCTCCTTTCGCCCGACCCGAATAGGGGACAGACGGCGCATCGCCAGAGGAATCTAATTGCGTTGGGGCAGGGCGGAGCGGAACATCGTAAGCAATTCGGTCGGTTTGACATGTCCTAAGTAGGTGTCGATACTGTCTGGTAAGATTGCCGAGCGCTAGCGTGCGTACGAGGCGGGCGTAGGGTCTTCCGTGCGCGCTGCGTGCATCCAGACGGGTCGTAATTGGCACGCGCACTCATCGGGGACGTGGACGGCATGAACAGCAGATTTGGTGCCAAAGCCACGCGTTATTTGAGGTCCAGTGGGCAGGTCCACCGTCCTATCGAACATTTTATGAAACCCAGCCAGAGATGTAAATCGATCCGCCCTTTGCTTCAAAGTGCTTTGCTTTGCCGACCAGCGGTGTTTTGCGGATTCGTTCAAAGTGTTGCTGCCCACACCGATGAAGGAAGCATCTCGTTGCCGAGGCAGATACGCGCGGGAGTAATTTCTCAACGTCAGCGGCGCTCTGGCGGGGGGCGGGGGGCGGGGGGCGAAGGTGAACAACAGGAGGGTACCGGGCCCCTTCAGGGCCCCAGATCTTGCCGACACCCACATGATTTGCTGATTGGACTCGGCCAACACATCAGCCAGGGTCTGGAATGATATACTCCGCACTCGTCGCTGGGAGCTGGCGGAATCGCCGCACGGGTCGCCGATGAGTTCTTCCAGGTGCACTGTTCCAGGCGCCTTTGCCTTGAAGGTCCGACATTTGTGCACTGCAGTGCAGAGGTCAGCACGCAAACGGGCGGAGGGCATCGGTGGATTCGTCACCAGGGATTCGAGGCACCAGAGCCAAGAGTGCAGAGCGATCTGAATGACGGCGAAATACGGGTGCACAACGTGCGGGCAAAGGAGACGTGCGAAGAGGCGTTGCACCACGCGCGGCCAGGGAAGGCCTTTGTCTGATCGGTTTCAGGGCGTGGGCGTGCGGACACTCCAAGGTAGCGCTCGCGACGACCAGATTCGCCAGTCGTGCGACGCTTGCGAATTCCACAGGCCTTCTTCAAGCTCGTCACAGAGCTCGCGCTTCGAGCGCGAGTCGAGAGAAGAAAGGCGCAGCAGGACGCGCGCCACGGAGTGAAGCTTACCAGGGATGTCCATACGTGAAGGAGCGCACCTTCGAAGCAGCGTTCCGCCTGCGAAGGCCTCGGTCGTCGCCGGCGGTGCGGCCCATGATGCGAGCACGCAGGGCCAGTCCATGTTTCCGACGTGCAGAACTCCGCACCGTTCTGAAACCCCCAAGTGTTTGGGGAGGTGAGCAGCAAACTCCCCTCGACGCCAGAAGTATCCCAACCCCAACCGGGGCAGGATGCGGCAGCTCTCCCAGCGTACCGCTTGTTGGGATGGGCGTTGCGGAACCCGAAGGGGACGGAACCCAACCCCACTAGGTCGGCCATGGGGCCCAAGGTTTCCTCGGTGGTGGTGGTGGTGGTGGTGGTGGTGGCGGTGGTGGTGGTGGTGGTGGTGGTGGTGGTTGTCGGGGGCGGCAAAGAGGGGGTGATGACTAGGGGGGCGTGGATATCGTGGCGGGGGCCATGATACTCCCCAGGTTTCATGGCGCCTCTTCTTATTTCATTACGTCCCTGGCCCCCCCGCTGGGCCGCGCACATGTCGCCGGTTATTATTTGCACCCCCCGACACCCCCCTCTTGGCCGCTCCCGAGGTGGGGGGGGATGGTCTTGCAGGCGGGAAGCCGTGGCAGGAGGAGCGCGAGGAGGCCCACCCCTTACTTCCTGCCCCCCCCCCCTCCGGGGTTCCCCGAAGGCCCCCAGATCGTCGGCGAGCCCGGGGTGGAAGCGAGAAGGAGACCCGCCCGGGGGGCCACGAGGGGCCCTGGAGGGGCCAGGAGACCTCCCGAGGCCGAGAGCAGAAGGGCTCCAGCGCACGACAGAACGGGTCGATCCTCCGGGGTGGATGGAGACGCTCTGCAACAGGCTCCCCTATGGGCCGCTCCGAGCCCGTTCTCGCGCGTTTCCCTCGGGGCTTGCCGCTCGCGCGAGCCCCGCCCCCGGACGACCTCCCCGACGGGCCGGCCACGACGGCAGGGCCCAAAAAGTCGACTAGACGTGAGAGTGAGCGTCACCCAGAGTGAACTTTGGTGCGGGCCCGAGTGGGTGTCCCGATCCCTGAGCGCGAAGCGGTAGCAGCGGCTTGCGCGCCCAGGCTTGGCCACCCCGCGTCTCCCATTGAGCCGCGCACCAAGGGTCGCTCTTACCCAGGGTCACTCCTTGCGCGTAGCCGAAATACCCGAGACGGCTGAGTGCGCCAGCGCACCTCGAAAACATTGCATGAGCACAACTGTTCGGGAGTCTGCCCAGATTTCTCGGTCGGTGTGTGTGTGTGTGTGTGCAATGTGCAACCAGGACATGGCAATCCAGGACTTTGCCAGATCCGGCTGGAGAAACCAACACACGGAACATGCTTCGGCGCATGGCACAGACCCCGGCGCGTTCCACGCGTCGGGGCCGGGGGAGCGGGGAGACGGGGCATAGGTTCAGGCGTTGTTCATTGGTTCAGGCGGCGCTCAAGCCCAAGCAGAGGGCGCACACACGTGTGGGTTGGTGAACGAGCACCTGGGGCAACAAAGAAATCAAGAACACGGGGCGGGGAGAAGTGCAGCGCCATCGCATCTTTGCTTATTTCTTTCCTCTGAGGCCTGTACCCGCGCCCTCCGGCCGCCTGAGGCCCCGCCCGCCCGCGCCCTGTCTCCCCAATTAGTGCTTTGCGCGCCCCGCCTAGCTCTTAACCGGAAGAGGCCCGCTCTCGACCCGCAGACCCAAAAAAAAATCATTCCTCGTGTCTGCTACTCTTCGAGAGGGGGCGCAGCGCCGACCCGAGGAGTGCGCGCAGACCTCCCGCAGCTCTTGCCCCAAAGCTGCCCGGCCTTCTGCCGCGGATTCGCTGGGCCAGCGGCGCCCCTCGGAGAAGCCCCCCCTCCTCCGCAGCCATTTTGGCTCGAGCCCCCGGGCGCGCCCGCACGGGACCCTCTGGAAGGCGTCGACCTCGAGCTGCGCCCCGCCGGACCCGCCTCCTTTCCCTCGCCGCGGGCGCCGACCGGGGCTCCCTGCCGCCACGACGGGCGGCGCCCGTCGTGGCACCCCGCCATGGCGCCGCTGCGCCGGGCGGGCGCCGCTGCCCTCGGCGTCGCCGCCGCCGCGGCGCAGGGCCCGGAGCGGGCCCGCGACGGGTTCGTGGCCGAGCAGGGGGCGCGCGCCGCGGACTTCCGCGCCGCCATGGGCGGCGCGCTGGGCTGCGGGCGGCACGTGGAGCCGGGCCGGCTGGACGACATCGAGCGCGCGCTGCTGCCCACGTGGCGGTCGCTGCCGAAGAACGGCCGCGGGCGGATCGAGCGGCGGCCCCTGCGGTACCTCACGCGCCGCTACTTCCAGAGGGCGTCTTCCCTCGTGATCCGCGGCCTGGAGCCCACGCACCCGGCGGGCGCCGCTGGCTGGGGAGGTGCGGACATCGTGAGCCAGAGGGTGCCGGAGTACGTGGAGTCGGTCCTGCAGTCCAGGCACGTCGATGAGCACGGCTTCGACCTGAGAGACGCCACGCTGATGGTGGCCACGGTGGAGCAGCTGATCTTCGACTCCGAGGCCACGCTCTTGGAGAAGGTGTACGCCCGACAGCGGAAGCCGACGGGGCGCGATCTCACCCAGCAGGGGCTCCAGCAGGTGCTGGAGGCGTACATGGTTGTCTGGATGTTGGGCGACGACGCGTCGGGGATCGATTCTCTCCTGAGCGACAGGCATCGGCTCCACGAGGCGATCCCTCACTGGGACTCGATTCTGCACTTCACGCGCGGAGAGATCAGAGCTTATGACTATCGGAGACGCCTGCGGCGACTCACCGCCGCCCGCCTTTCTGGAAATGCCGATGTGACCGAACGTTGGGCCAAAGCTTGAAGCCCTTGGGGGAACACTTGGGGGAGGAAGAGGGGAAAGAGCAGGAGATGGAGGAGGAGGAGGAGGAGGAGGAGGAGGAGGAGGAGGAGGAGGCTGGAGGAGGAGGAGGAGGCTGGAGGAGGAGGAGGAGGAGGAGGAGGAGGCTGGAGGAGGCCGGAGGACGATGCGGACGAGGTGGTGGCCTCTTGGGGACCTCTTAGGGTCCTCTTGGGGGCCTCCTGAGGCCGTATAGGGCCATCTTTGCCGACTTGGAGGCCCACTTGGCCGTCTTGGATACCATCTTGGACCGTCTTAGGGGCCTTCTTGCCTCAAGGGGCCGTCGTGGGCCTCACGAGGCCTAAGAGGCCTGAGGCTGTCGGAAGGTCTCGAGGGCGAACACGCCGAATTGATTGCGAAGGCTTTACGGCCGGCGCCGCCGACCCTGAGGCGTCTTGGGCCGTATTGGGGCTCTCTTGGGCCGTTTTGGGCCCCTCCTGGAGCCCCTCTTGGGCCGTCTTAGGGCGATCTGGGAGGCCTCTTGGGCCGTCTTGCAGCGTCGGGAAGCGGAAGAGGCGAGAGCGCCGAAATGCTTCAAAAACCAATGGGGAATCAATGATTTGTCCTCTTGGGGCCCTCATGGGAGTGCTCCTGGAGGCTTCTTGGGGCGTCTTGCAGGGCTCTTGGGCCGTCTGGAGGCCGTCAAGGCGTCTTGGACAGTTCGTTCGGCGATTCGGGGCCCTCTTGGACCGCCTTGAGGGCACTCTTGGCCCGTCTTGCGGCTTTTCTGGGCCCCGGGACCCCCCAGAGGGGAGTCGCATCTGACCCGGGACCCCCCCCTGGGACCCCCCCTCCCTCCCAGCTGGGGAGGGATCAAAGGGAATCGGCTTCCCTTCGAGTCATGGTCCCCGGGACCCTCCAGAGTCGCATCTGACCCGAGACCCCCTCCTCGAGACCCCCCCCATCCCGGCGGCGGGGGAGGGATCAAAGGGAATGGGCTTCTTTTCGAGTCAATAGCGTCATGGCTTCATGTCGCAGTGGCTGGCGCACTTGAGGAGGAGGGCCTATGGAAGGTGGATGCGGAGCGGTGACGGGCCCAGCACTTGAGGAGGAAGGCCCAGGGAAAGGGAGGGGAGCGGCGACGGGCCCAGTGAAAGGGGGGGCGCAGGGAAAGGGGACGACAGAGACGACGACTACTTAACGAATGACGGAGACGACGACTCGAAGGGACAAGCCCCTCACACGCTGGCAGGGTCGGCGGATTGAAAAGTCGATGGGCAAGCAGTGATGCCCATGATGTCGCCAAGTTGGCATGAGGGAGCCCCTATAGAACCCTAAGACATGCCCAGACAGCCCAAGAAGACCCCAGTAGCCCCCAGGAGGACCCCGACAGGCCCCCAAGAGCCCCCCTGGATGCCCCAAGATGGCCCCAAACGGCCTCAACAGCCCAGAGGGTAGCCTCAAAAAATCACGAGGACCCCTCTCTTCTTCGACGTCCTTACCGTCGGGCTCCTCACCGTCCTTCGTCGTCGTCGTCCTTCTCCTCCTCCTCCTCATCCTCCTCTTCCACCTCCTCCGCTTCGCTCCTCCTCGCTTTCGTCCTCCTCCATTTCTTCCTCGTCCTCGCGCCTGTCTTCCTTCTCGTTGTCCTTCTACCCCCCTCGCTGCCCTGCCCCTCGCCCACGCTGCCATCCTCGACATCCGCCGCCTCGTCGTCGCCATCATCCTTTTCTTCTTGTCCCCCCTACGAGCCTAATGGACAAAATCGTCGCTTCCCGTTCTCGTCCGAGCAGGTTTAAAAGTCGGTGGGCAAGCAGTGCTGCTTGCCTACTGGCGCCAGCTTGGGGTCGTCTTGGAACCCACCCGGGGCGTCTTGGAGGCCTCGTGGGCCATCTCGGCCCTTTTGGAAGCGTATAGGACCCACCTGCAGGGCCATCGTCGACCGTCTTGTGCCATCGTCGACCGTCTTGGGCCGTCCTGGAGGCCTCATTGGTCCTTGGTGGCGAACTTGGGAGGCGAGTCTTCTCGGCTTTCCGGTGGCTGGCAATGCTTTCCGGGTTCGGGCGGTGGTATAGTGGGGGTGACCCACATAGGTCGGGAGTGGAAAAGAGGGGGGTGATGACTAAGGGGGGGTGGATATCATGGCGGGGGCCATGATGTTTCCCCAGATTTCATGGCGCCCCTTCTTATTTCATTACGTCCCTGGCCCCCCCGCTGGGCCGCGCACATCCCGCCGGTCATGATTTGCACCCCCCCCTCTTGGACACCCCCCTCTTTGCCGCTCCCGAATAGGGGGTGTGACGAAAAGGGCCCTCTGAAGGGCCCCATTTGCGGCCCCTTCTGGAGCCAGCAAAGGTCCATAAGGGGGCCCGGAAGGCCCCCTTGATGGGGGCCCTCTGCGCCACCCCCCGTGTGGCTCCCCCCCCGTTGCCACCCGCTCGACGGGCCAAGGCCTTGCCCACCTGGTCTCAGCCAGGCCCGGACGATGTCCGCAGCGGTGGTGGTATCGTACCGTATCGTATCGTACCGACGGGTGAGCTTCTCGGGGGGCCCAAGGAGCTAGACACGGAGCCACGAGTCCAGACCGGCCCAGGCCTCTCGAAGACGATCCACTTCAGAGCGTGAATTACCTACCCCGCTTTCGCTTCCAGGCAAAACCAAGCCATACCACGCGCCTCCTCGTCAAGCGGCCTGACCAGTACAGGCTGCAATTTGGCATCGTTTGGTATTTCTTGGAAGCGAAGGGTGGTCCAAAGCGAGGTCGGCTTGTTTTCCCCCTACCACTTGCCCTCCAAGGAAACCGGCGCCATGCCATGACCTGCTGTGCGGTGTTGTGCTCTGCGCGGAGGGCGTGAGCTTCCACGGGGCTCTCCGGAAGTGCCCCCGTCCTCCTTGCCGGGGCCTAACCTGCGCGCTATCGCGCGGGGTCTCTCGCTCTCCTCCTCCTCCTCCTCCTCCTCCTCCTCCTCCCCTCCTCCTCCTCCCCTCCTTCTCCTCCTCCTCCTCCTCCTCCTCCTCCTCCTCCCTCCTCCCTCCTCCTCCCTCCTCCTCCTCCTCCTCCTCCTCCTCCTCCTCCTCCTCCTCCTCCTCCCTCCTCCCTCCTCCCTCCTCCCTCCTCCGCAGGCCCCGGGGGCGCCGCACCGCGTGGCCCCCGCCCGGGCCGCCCGCGCGCCGCCCGGGTCGCAGGCGAGGGGGGGGGGGAGGCCGGGCGGCCCCCCTTGGGCCGAGCGGCGCTCCCGTGGCAGCCGGAGGAGTCGCGCGGGGAGCCCCGAGTCGCAGGCTATTGTCCTCCCCCAATCCCCGAGTTCTGCCGGAAACGCTCAGAAAAGGCGGGGAATCTTGGGATACACCCCGAGGGGGCTATTCGGACGTACCCCTATCGAGGATGGACGCCCCCCCTCGTATATCCCAGGGTTGGGCACCAAATTTTTTATCCTCTCGAAAACCTCACGAAACCTGGGATAGGGGTCGGCGCATCCCCTGTTACCGAGAGCCCCCGGGAGCGCCCGGGAGCTCCCGGGGGCCCTGGCGAGGCAGAGGCCTGAGGCCATGGCGAACAAGCTTTTTGTTTCGAGCTTCCTGCCTGGAAGGCTGGAGTTATAATATAGGTAAGAGGAGCGCGGCCCAGCAGCCACGAGTAGCGGTTGCGGAACAGGCCTGGGCATTTGCCGAGCAGCCCTGGCTTACTCGGTTCCTACCTTTGGCGTTTTTTGGTGTTCTAGAGGGCTTCGCTTGTATGTTGTGCTTGTGATGAGGGTGGCTTTCTGCATTCAGTCGAAGGGGCTCCAAGAGACTCCACTTAGTGCCTTCGGCACGGTGGCGGACTACAGGCAGCGTGGCCAGGGCGGCGGGACGAGGCGGAGCGTGCTCACGCGGAGGTACTCCTTCGACGACGTGCACCATATTGTTGGCGGGATGACCAAGATCGGGGGCGTCTGAACAAGCTTTTTGTTTCGAGCTTCCTGCCTGGAAGGCTGGAGTTATAATATAGGTAAGAGGAGCGCGGCCCAGCAGCCACGAGTAGCGGTTGCGGAACAGGCCTGGGCATTTGCCGAGCAGCCCTGGCTTACTCGGTTCCTACCTTTGGCGTTTTTTGGTGTTCTAGAGGGCTTCGCTTGTATGTTGTGCTTGTGATGAGGGTGGCTTTCTGCATTCAGTCGAAGGGGCTCCAAGAGACTCCACTTAGTGCCTTCGGCACGGTGGCGGACTACAGGCAGCGTGGCCAGGGCGGCGGGACGAGGCGGAGCGTGCTCACGCGGAGGTACTCCTTCGACGACGTGCACCATATTGTTGGCGGGATGACCAAGATCGGGGGCGTCTGAGAGGAGGCTGAGGACTACGGATGTGCGGATACCATGGCCTGGGCCACGGAATGTATTGGATTTTACGGCCCATTATCCGTCTTCGTTCAATGCGTTCTTGCCCCCCCCCCCCCCCCCCCCCCGTCCGCGCGCATGCCTCGGGGCCATACGGCGCTAAGCCCCCCTCTTCCTGGCCCCCCCCTCTTCGGCGCGCCCGACAAGACTTTTGCCTCCTTCTGGGAGTCGGAGTGCTCTCACATGAAAATGCCGCTGATCGAGATGGATACCCACAATACGGGGAGGGTGCCCCTCTCCAGATTCTACAGCGCCGCGCTGAACGCCGATGAGTGGCGGTTCGGTGAGTCCGAGGGATACTTGCGGGACATGGGCGTCCTGGATGAGACCTCCATGTGGATGGGCCCCCAGGTGATCATCCCGAACTACTTGCAGGCTTCCTCGAACTGCATCGTGACCCATCAGCACTATTTTGTGTGCTGCGCAAACAGCTGCGAAGGCGTCTTAGCCGACATCGAGGCCGCAGTGGGAGCTCCGCTAGCCGATCCCGAGCAGTTGCTTGAGCTGGTAGGGAACATGAGTTACCAGACGACTCTCGAGAACGAGAACCCCCCGGACATCACTGGATCACTGACGCAGCAGTTGCACAGCATCGCGGATGCGCAGGATGGCAAAGTCCCCCTGCACGGCCGCTTATTTGCTCAGTGGCTGCACTTCGTCTATCCTCGCGACTGCCCCTTTCCGCACAAGGCAGGTACCGCGAGCATGATCACCCCCTCCGAGTTCGGCGACGGGTTCTTAGCGACGGCGGAGGAGATACAGCAGCACGCGTCGAAGGCGAGCGGGGCTAGGATCCCCGCCAGCATGGACAGGGATGAGATCCACTGGATGTCGCAGTGGAGCCACGAGGAGCAGCTCCTGGCGGATTACCAGCCCCGCTCGCGCCCGTGGGCTGGCTGGGCCTTGGCCGGCTGCGCGCTGGCGCTGGCCTCCGCCACCGCCGCGATCGCCGCCGCGAGGGCCGACTCCGCCCTCGGTCTGGGCCGACTCGCCGGCAGACCGCTGGAGCAGCCCAGGACGCACTCGCTGTGACCCCCGCGGGCGCGGGCCAGGCCCGGTGCCGCCGAGACGGGCATACACCCCAGCGGTGGGCACCCCGGCGGCGCGCAGGTCGAGCGGTGCCCAGGGTGGGGCGCCCAGGAGAGCGGCACGGCGGCGCCGCCCCCCTGCGCCGATCCGGGCGTTCGGCTGTGGGCGGGCGTGTGAGGAGGAGGAGGAGGAGGAGGAGGAGGAGGAGGAGGAGGAGGAGGAGGAGGAGGAGGAGGAGGGGAGGAGGGGGAGGAATGGGATGAGGAGGAGGAGGAGGAGGAGGAGGAGGCGGAGGAGGAGGAGGAGGAGGAGGAGGAGGGGAGGGGGAGGAGGGGGAGGAGGGGGGAAGGAGGAGGAGGAGGAGGAGGAGGAGGAGGAGGAGGAGGAGGAGGAAGAGGAGGAGGAGGGGGAGGAGGGGGAGGAGGGGGAGGAGGAGGAGGAAGGAGGAGGAGGAGGGGAGGAGGAGGAGGAGGAGGAGGAGGAGGAGGAGGGGGAGGAGGAGGAGGAGGAGGAGGAGGAGGAGGAGGAGGCGGAGGGGGGGAGGAGGCCCGGGGCCAGGCTGAGTGCGTTGACGGCTCTAGGCGCCGATGCCCTCGCGAGGCTCCCGCTGGGCGGCGGCCGAAGCGCGGGCAGAGCGGCAGCAGTGCCATCGGGGGCAGCGTTAAGGAGGGAGAGGGCGAGAGGCTCAGGGCGGGACGCTTCGGCCCATGGATCGCCCATGGATTGCCGATGGGGGCCCGATAGCCCGCTCCGCCCAGGAAGGTGCAGATTCGCCATCGGGGGCCTATCGCCGATCTATCGGCGATGTATCGCCGATTGCAGGTCGACGTTCCCCCCGAGCCATCCCCTCCGATCGTTGCCCGTCACGCTGCCAACGCGGTGGCGGTGCGCAGCAGGCCCATCAGATGTTTCCAGACGTCCGCGCATCGATGTTTGTTCGATGCGTGGGCCCCCTCTGGAGGTCTGGACCCCGACCCCTTGCCTGGGACAGGCTGCTCATCCGGGTCCGAAGCTGGCCTCCAGAGTTCGGCGCTCGGCAGCGAGGGGGCAACACACGGGTGGGTGAGCCAGGACTCCAGGAGGCAGCCTCGCCGGGGCCCCAGACCATAAAAGGGGCAGACTGCAGCCGCGGGCCCGAGGGGTGCTGGAGAGGCGCGCGTGTCTTCGCACCCCGTCCACTCAGAACGCCCCCGTGAGCGGGCGCCCGACAGAGGTCCGCTGACGACTGGTGTGCACTGCGCCGCGTGGGCGTCTCCCGAGGCGTCGCGAGTCCAGCCGTGGCGACCACGGCAGGAGAGGCGAGCACGATGCAGAGGTAGCCGCATCGGTACCGCGTTGGAGCGGGGCCGCACGGGTGCGGTGTTCGCAAGAGGCAGTCCCCCAAAGGGCCCACACAACGGCTGCCCGGCTTTGGGTCTTGGGAGGCAGCGATAGACACAGGCACAAACGAGCGTCGGTTCCCAGGAACATGCAGGAAGTGGAAGGGAAGACGAAACTTGTTCCCCAATCTGAGCTTGCCTCTGTAGGGGTCCTAGCGGATTCATTTGGTTAGGTTAGCTGTGGCGCCGATTTCGGCGGCACGCCCGGGTGCCCGGGTGCCTGGGTGTCGGGGTGAGGTTCGTCGCCGATTTCCGCGGTGCCCGGGTGCCTGGGTGCCTGGGTGCCCAGGTACCTTCTAGCCCTATATCCCGATTGTCCTATAGCCCAATCACACTATAGCCTAATAGCCCTATAGCCCTATAGCCCCATAGCCTCATAGCCTTATAGCCCTATAGTCTATAGCCTTATAGCCATATAGCCTTATGGCCTTATAGCCCTATAGCCCTATAGCTCTATAGCCCCGTGGTCTTATATCCCTATAGCCCCATAGCCCTACAGCCCTAAAAAGATTATGATTGGGTTTTTCTCCGGTCTCATATATATATATATATATATATATGTGTATACTCGGCCCCTTTATTGTCGACGCGCCGGGCGCCCGTCAGAAGCGGCGGGGGCCTTCTCAGAAGGCGGCGAGGCTTCTCAGAAGGCGGCGGGCCTTCTCAGAAGCTCCAGGCCTTCTGAGAAGCCGCCCGTGTCTTCAGAGAGGGCCTACAGGCGGCTTCTCAGAAGGCCCGATGGGGTTCCGGGAAGCGCCGCCGCCTTCTGAGAAGGCCTGCCCCTTCTCACTTCTCCCCAGGGCTTGCCGACTCTGGTCGGCGCCCCGGACTCCCTGGAGTCCGCTGGCGGGACTTCCTCGGGTCAGGAGCGACAGAAGGACGTACACGTACCTGAATCCACGCTGCTTTCGAAAGTACGCAGCGCGCGAACGTTCGTGACACGAGGTTGGTCTCGCGGACTGGGGGGCCGTATTCATTTGCGTGGTTATGCTCTAGGCCTCCTAGATGGGATCCGAGTAGATGGGGTCGGAGGATCGCGCCTCATCGCCGATGAATCGACGATGCGGTTCGATGTGGAGCCCGTGTCTCTCCACGCCGACGGCGCCGATGCATCGCCCACGTCGACGATGCATCGCCGTTGCATCGCCGATGCACCGCCGATGCATCGGCGATGCGGCGCGATCCTCCGACCCCGTCTGCTAGGACCCTATCCAGGAGGGCTCTACATATGTGTATGCATGCATGTATTTATGTGTATATATACAGACATGTGTGTATACATATATATATATATATATATATGTATAAGTATATGTATGTGTGTATATATATGTATGTGTATATATATATATATATATATATGTGTGTATGTATGCGCGTACGTCCTTTTCGGGCGGCTCCCCATCGGGGAGCTCGGCCGCAGCGGGCTCGGCATGAGCGGGCGGGGCGCGGCGAGTGCCCCGCGCGAGCCGGCGGCGCCGCGCGCCCCGGCGGCTCGGCTCGGCTCGGGCGCCCTCCTCGAGGGCGCGGGCGGGGGGTCGGATGGCCCGGCAGGGGCCTGCGGGCTGGGGGAGGGAGGAGGCTCTTCCTCTCCCCTTCGCCCCCCAAACCCCCCCTCCACAATTACCTTTTGATGACTACTAATCTCCTCTCTCCCCTGACGACGTCCGGAAGATAACCGGCCCCCCTCCGCGTACTGGTTTTTTACACCGGATTCCCGGGAACTGGGTTTCCGTTTGAGTTGTTGTTTCAAAATGTTGTTCCTGCTGAAGCGCTGGCCTCGTTTTGGCCTTCCGCTCGTTCCGAATCGTGCTCCCGCTGCAGCGCTGGCTTCATTTCTGGGTTTTCCTATTTACTTTTGGCCATCCGATGATTGGCGGTCCTTCAACATGATGCTCCCGCTGCAGCGCTGGCCCCATTTCTGCGCCTCTGGCTATTCCAAAACATGTTCCCGCTGCAGCACGGGCGTTGTCCAAATTGAGAAAATATTCCCGGAAGAGAACATCTCAAGTTATTACACATCCGGTGCCGATTCGTTGAGTTCTTGGGCCGCAAAAGGGCCCCCCCCCCACTTAGGGGCGGCGGCGTATGGAGAAAGTATGAAGCGGGAGCCAAACTTTCTGCTTGCAGAAGACGACGTTGCAAGCAGAGCCAGCGGGTGCTCTCCATCAGCAGCCCTGCCTTGTGGGGAGCTTTTCGCGGAGCCCAGGGAGCTAAACATGGAGCCGCGACTCCAGAACGGCGCAGACCCCTCGAAGAGTATCCACTTTACCTCCAAGGAACCCGGCGCCCTGGCATGACATGCTGTGCAGTGTTCTGTTTTACGCCGCTGTGCGATGCCATGCTTTGTGTTGCAACGCATTGTGATGCAATGCTTCACTACGCAATGCCACGCCATGCTATGACATTATACGCTCTGCCATGCTCTTCTGCGCCATGCCATGCCGTGCTATACGATGCATCGCGTACCCTCTCGCGATGATTGCCCTGCTCGACATCCGACTGTGCGAATAGAAAGGAGATCTACGCCATGGTAAGGGATGGGAAGGAGGGGTAGGAGGTCAGATATGACGCGAGCGCACCTGGCTTGTCACCTCCCCCTCCTCCTCCTCGTCCTCCTCCTCCTCCTTCTCCTTCTCCTTCTCCTCCTCCTCCTCCTCCTCCTCCTCCTCCTCCTACCCCTCCTCCCCCTCCGTTTCCTCCTCCTTCTCCTCCTCGTCATCATCCTCCTCCTCTTCGGCCAGCAAGAAGTCAGAGGCGGAGGTTTACCCACATTCAC